GCTAACTAAGCGCGGCGTACTGCAAACCTTTGGGCACTGACGGCCCTTGTAAGCATTGACCATACGACTTCACTGGTCCTCCCTCCCAGTTTTCGGCATTGTGACCTCAACATGGGCATGTTGGGGCTTCAAGGTCTGCACAAAGGTTCCCTTCCCTGACGGACTCACCTCGCAAGGATCCTCAACCGCGCAACGGGAAAATATACACTTGACGCAGGAGAACAAGGTACTTGGATAGCTGATCAGCAAAGAACATTCTTCCAGCCGATGTGCAACATCTCCTGCATCAAAAGTATCCGTGTGATATCTTAGCCGACTTTCCGTGGGAGTGGCCGGCTGGCCTTTTCCACGGAAAGTTGCTGAAAATCTGGGCAGCGCCTGACCATGTTACGAGAGAGCGTGCTCACATCGAGGTCCAGCAGCGAGCTGACATCAAGCTACCCGAAAAATCGATCCATGCCGCCGGACAGTGGCGCCGTGAAACTGGCGAAGCACCTCAGACTCGTCATTGACTCATCGGCTTGTTGCTCCGACGTTTGGAAGGCTTCATCAATCTCTTTCTCTTTCTCTCTCTCTCTCTGGCTGAAGGTGGATGACACGCAAACCACAAAATGGAAAACGGCGGTGGCATCTTGTCGAAACAAAAGTGGTCCATTTTCCTCTTTGTCTTCCTTTTAACAAGCAGGTTGGTCCAATTTAGGCAGCCTCAGTCTGATGAAAGCATCCGAGCAACCTCGCCAAGGGCTTTTCAGCCCAACACTTCCGGCACCCCAACCAAGGCAGCAACCGAGCGTCGGAGCTTTCTTAGGATGCCTGGGAGCACAAGGGTTAAAGGCTTTGTTAGCATAAACAACAACAGGTGAATGAATATCTCTCTGTCTCTCATGCTCTCGATCCACAGAAACTGTTCACTTTTCTCTCTGACAAATAGTTGTGATCTCGATGGCGAATCATCAAATACCTCTTGATACCGTTGCTTTCAGCCACGCGGCTTGCTCAAGTCACTGGATAATGAGCGGCAACTCACAAAGAAAGCAAGGAGGATAACACAAATTGTTTCCAAGATCCAAGTCTTTGAGTGTCATGATCTTTGATCCTTGTTCTGGTTCGTCTTCAAACGCAAATAAACGTGTGGACTGCCATGATATTCTTGATAATCCTGCATTAATCCCAGACAAGCGGGTCGCTTGACTATGATGTCAATTGTGTGACACAGCATGCAGCCCGTAGCAAACTGCTTGCAAAGGCACATTTGCGAGGTTGCAAATACAGCATGTGATTCGTGATCAAAACCTGGTGCAAAAATGGTTGGCTCAGAACCATGCAAAGAATTGAAAAGGCCCCCGCACCCATTTCTGGCTGGGATTGTCCCCTACTACCCTCGAATTACCCGGGTTTTGATTGTGATTCATGTGATTTGCTTGAGCCTCTTATCTCATACTACGGCTCGCATTGAAAACCGGGTGGTCACACGGAGGGGAACACAAAAGACTCGTTGTTCACGGCGTTTCGCGCACCTCCGACTCTGCCGCGTCCAGCAAAGCTCGGTCTGGCGCGAGCCGAATGACCCGAGAGGCAGCTTTGCGGATTCTGATTTGCCCGGTCTTGTGACTGTCCAACCAGCCAGGTTACCCCTCAAGCAAACGTCTTTGAGCCATGGTCAAGCCATGTCTAGCCTTTTTGTACATCACTCACTGCATGACACGCGGAGTCCTCATGTGAGGCATCCCCACGAGGATTTTTGGCCATGCAAGCTGCAGCTTTGGCCATGGCAGTTGATCTGTGACATGCCCGTGCGCGGTTCACGGATTGAATCATGAGTGGCATCAATTGCTCTTCTCAAGGCCTTCAGAAGGGGGAGTCGGAGGCTTTTAATTCATCGACACATCCACATGGCCATGGGTCAAAATCCCGTACGCCCGTGAACATCCCAATCCCCACTAAAATAGGTTCTACAATGGGTGGTGCACAGAAAACCCCGAAGTGGTACCATTGGTTTTGACCCACAGCCCACATGTGCTTTGCAACCAACCCGCCTTCGTCGTCGTCTATCTGGGTTGCGTTGGTCGAGTTGGTGGAGACCTGTAGTGGGTGCACTCGAAGATCCGGATCTCACTGGTTCAGTCCGCCCTGCCTACAACAGATTGGTCAATATCCACTGGAAATCACGGTCTCTTGGGGTACCGTGACCCACTTCACTCCTTTTGAATTGAATGCCATGCACCGGCCCAGCCTTGATCGGAACCACCTTGGGGGCAACAGCAGAGAGCTCCTTCACCAAAACCTGCAAATTGCGGCATTGCGGTCTGCGCTTCGCAAGCAACGTGGAGACCATGTGGAGGCCACAGCACTTCCACAGGGAACGTTTCATGACAGCGCCTAACAGGTGGGACGAAAAGTCAAAGAGACTCCCTTGCACTTTCCAATTAAATCCTGCCATATTCATCATTCCTTGACAGCTTAAAGCGTGCGTATATTGCACGCAGTACAATACGCTCCTCGCCTCTGCCACGCCGGATTCATCTCGGACGACCATCATCTCCTGGTCAGGCACAAATTCAAATGGCAATCACCAAATTGCCGAAACATGCTCCTGAAATTACGTTGCGGCAGAACATTCTACAAGGGCGAGGATCTGTCGTTAAAGCCACCAAAGGGACAACAGGGAAGCTAATCATGGCTTGCTCTGATTGCAGATGCTCTCAACCTGTTCAAGCAATGCAACCGGCTTCTGCATGGTCACCCAGATTGCCCCTCCAAAAATGGTGGTTTTCTTTTTAGTTCCCCTCTAAACCCAACAAAAACGTGTACCAACTCAAGCTTGCTGTTTCTCAGCAGGGAATGAGGGGAATTCATGAAATTCCTGTTGGTTCCCTTTGAAAATCCACCAGAAAAGGGTACCGACGGTTCAGCAAGAAAATCACGGGGGATTTTCTTTTTTTGTCTCTCCTCGTCCAGGTACGTCACCAAAAGTCTTCGGCGCAGCTCCAAAGGCAAGTCCTACGTCCATGCGCGGATGTGCGCAACGAGAGCAAGTGTCATAAACCCCGTTTGCTGGAGTCCCAAACGGAAAAATATGAGAAAATGCGTCCAGTAGTGATAGATTCTCTTTCAAAACCAACCAGGGAACAAAAACAAATGAACAAATGAACGCAAACCTTGTGTAGCTTGGTCATTTTGCGAGCATATACCCAAATGCTTACGTCAGCTTTGCTCCAAATCAAGAGCTGTCCTGGCAACCAACCTTTGAAGCTTTGCTTCACCAAATTTGAACTATGTGGCTGTGGGTCAAAACCCAGAAAACCCCTCTTGAACATCAAAACAGGTGGCAAATGGATGTTCATCCACCCCAAAAATGGGATCGCCATAGGCTATGCCTATGAACTATGCGTCCTTTGCCGTGTTGAGAAGGCTCAAAGCTCGCCGCCGCGGCCCTAAAACCCGCCGAGACTTACACCTTGACACGACGCGCCTGGTCGCCGATGGGCTCCGGCAGCTTCACAGAGATGACCTGGCGAGGTGCAAAGGTGGAACGCGTGCGAGCAAATCCTAGGGGTACCTTCCAATTCCATTCGTCCCAGGCATCCTGCTTTCTAAAAAAAGGGAGGACACTTCATGGAAAAATAGACATGCTGTCGGGATGAACCAATCGAAGATTGTCAGTGTTCATTTTTTGGTCGCTGTTCCATGGTATTTGTCATTGTTACCACTCCTGCTGGTTCTCAAAATGGGCCTCCTGCAAAGATCCCAAAATGGTGGACCCAAAAAGCATGGCAGGTTTCAACAGACAACCACAATGAAACCACCCATTTGCTGGGGTCCCCTATAAAATTCGCGAAACCCCATGTCAATTTCCTACCACCGGGGTCCCTTCAAGTAATGCGGCCGATTTCGGGAACAACCGAATGGCCTCTTCGCTCATGCTCAAGGAGCTCAAAGGCATGAGCTCAGCCTTGTATCTCAGGGTCTCCTGACGAAAGCTGGATGGCATGTGTCCCGGGCAGGGAATGAGGATAGCATGCCTGCTTGCTGCGTGCAATCAACACCTTGCGCGGACCGAAAAAGAGAGAGAAAGTATCAGTGGTGCACAATCATGTGGAAGGAGGGAGGGGCTTCACTTCGGCTGCGTACGGCCCCTCTCCTTCTTGCCAGCAACCTCCACGTCTGCAGATGCCTCCACATCGCGACCGCCAGTGATCTGCACCTGGACATCCGCTGTGCCTACGAGAGCCATGACCGCGGCCTTCAAGTGCCTCAACCGCTGTGCTCTGGAAGTCTCTGTTGCGAACAAAGCTTCGTGCCACATCAAGCTGGCCCGCGCAGTCAGAAAACACGAAATGATGGCCAAGCCTTTACTTGCCATCTCCTTTCTGCACAATCCTGCAGGCGTTAGACTTCTAATGGGGAACACCTCCCAAGAGGCTGCACAAATCTACGCAAGTGATGTCCAGCAAAGGGTCTAATTATTTGCAATACCTGGTTCAACACATGACCATGACCCTCAGTAGTTTCCTTTCAAATTTCGGTTTTCCTTTGAACACGCCTCAAAAGGCCACCTCTCACGAACAAATGACCTCCGACTTGCAACCATTTTCCGGTTCGGATCCGCTTTGGTGGGACACCCCCAGTGACCCCCAACAAGGGCTTCATTTGGGAACCAAAAAACCCGTTACCCGCAAACCCAGCAAACCCCCAGGAACCGCCACCAGGAAACTTCAGGAAACCCTAGGAAACCCCAAGAAAACCCCAAGAAAACCACAAAAAACCTGAGAAAACCCTACAGAAATTGAGGAAACCCCAGGAAACCCCACAAAACCCCAGAAAACCCCAGAAAACGCAAGGACACCCCCAAAACCCCAGGAAATAATAGGAAACTGCAGGAAACCCCAGAAAACACCAGAAAACTGCAGGAAACCCAAGGAAACCCACAAAAAACCACAAAACACCACAAAAAAACACACACACACACACAAAAAAAAAAAACGCCCAGAAAACCGTAAAACCCCACACAACCCCAAAAACACCTCAACAAACCCCCAATCAACCCCCAATCAAATCCCCAAACTAGGCCCCGGTCCCTCACTTCCCATTCCCGCGCCTTCTTGGAGCCCAACTTGACACCAATGGACTGACCTGAAAACCCGCCGCCCGGTTGGTCACGTCTGCTGGTTTGCCGCTTTGAAATTGATCACAAGGCCCAAAGGCAAACACTTCAATCCATTTGGATTTGTCTGTACCTTCAAGTCCAAGAAACTGACAAACAAATACACAATGTTTCACCTTAAATTTTCAACAGGAACTTGCTTGCCCGTCTGATTCTAGGCAAGTTCTAATCACACGCACATTTGAGCACACATCAGCAGCACTTTTGGAAAGGAGTGGAGTGCAACGAAGAAACTTCGAGTTGTATGCAACATAAAAGTACCCCCCCAACCAACACCCTTAGTTTTACCAACACACCCTTAGTTGAGTTGTATGCTATCTCCAACCAACACCCTTAAAATTACCCCACCCCAACCACCCCAACCAATCAAGTCCCAGCACCACTTCAGGCGCTGACCCCAGAAGCCCGAGGCAAAGGAGGAGAGTGCATTGCCCAGCGAAAAGCCGCCACCTGCCGCGGAATTTCACGGGACGCCAAACTAATTCAGTGCCATCCATTTAAGGTCAAACTAACAAAGACACCTCTGCTTATAGTAGTCGTTTCCAGGGTTGCCTTGCTATGTGAACTGCCAGAGACAACAAATTGGCTGCGAATGAACAAGGAGCAACTATCAAAGCATCTACGAAGCTACCCATCCTTCGCCACTTGCAGTCGACAACGTTCCAATTGCAAAACATGCAGTCTGAGCGTGCCCGAGATTGCAAGGTGCACCAACCCCAACCAAAGAATAAGGGCAGCTCAAGCACGCTCAACAACTCCGGGACTGCTCTGCGGAGGTCGGCTCTAGATCTTGGCTTGAATGTTTCCTTATGCTAAAGACCCCACCCTGATTTCCCCATCGTTCCCATTTCATCTTGTTTCCTCTCACTGTGCCTCTCTGCCTGTCTGCCTGACCAGTGGAACCTTCTGAGTGAATAATCTTCAGGTCCAAGCATTGGAGGTCCAGAGTGCTCGTGCCACAGGCCAGCAAGACCATAGAGGAAGAGCGCCAACTCCCGGGTCGGCGAGGACAGAATGCCCGGTGCATAGGAGCCCGCGTACCTCTTTCGCATTTCTTTGCCCAGGCTAAAGGGTTGGACCCCGAACAACGCCTGAGCCACTCTGGAGAGGTCAGAGAAGAGAGCTGGACACCCGCAACAGTTTTTTTCAATTTGCGGTCCATGTCCCGCGTACAAGGCTTTTGGGACCTCCTAAAAAAGCATCTCAGAGCTGGTTCCCGAAACATTCTGTCCACAGGAGCATCGCCTCGTCGCTGGCACGCTCCAGGTTCTACTGCTCAAATCGTTTGGTTCGAGGCGATGCTTCTGGGAATTCTGTGCTGAAATTGTGTCCGTTGAATGCCTCCGGCTTGCATGACCAAGGGGCCCTGTGGTACCACAAGCAAAAACGAAAGAACACTCAGGACACATAAGTCCGTCAGCTGGCTCAACTCGAGCCCTCATGCGCTTCACAACCCCAAGACAAGCATTGGGGGGACACATATCGAGGTGACCCGCATTAGATACAAAGGAGTTCTTCCACTTCAAGCATTGATTGAACCAAGAAAACGAGAATCACTGGCGAGTCTCTGAGTCAGCGGCTTGACAATCCAGGTGCCATCGAGCATGGTGGAAAACACGGGCTCCTCGACCTGATTCATCCTGGAGGGCCAAGCAAAGCGCTTGGGTCCTAGTGCTGCTTTGAAGCACCCTTCACTTCGCCAACATGGGCGTGATTTTCGTTCGGCCACCGTCCTTGCTGGTACGGAATGACCTGGGGGTTTGACGTTGAAGCCTAGGGATTCCCTTAAAGGAAACCACCAGGGATGGTGCTTTGGGGGGCGTTCCATTTCTCACTCCCCGCTGAGAACCAGCAAGTCAGCCCTCGGCCAATCCTTTCGCCCCGCCTCTCCAACTTCACGATGGCCTCATCCACCCGGCCACGCATGGGCTTTCCTGAGAGTCGGCCAGGGGGCGCCAGCGGATGGCAGCGAAGACAACGGCAACGGCTCAAACCACAACTTGCCTCGCCTAGCTCGGCGTGGCACAAAAAGAAAACACTGGTATGCGTCGAATTGGGGAAAACGGCACGTAGCACATAAGAACCACTCACTTGCCCAAAGGACCTGAACATATCAGGTTAACGCCGTTAACGCTTTGGAACCTGGACTAAATATTGCCAAATCAGTGAAAGCCAAGAGCTTTGCAAGATGTCTCACTCTCCAATCCCGAAGCCCTCGCCTTCGGGCCGCAGAACCTCCTGCTCCAAGCTGCTGTCCTCGAGCAGGTCCATCAGCCTCTCCTGGCGCAAAGGCCGAGCGAGAGCACTGGCCAGATGAGTGGCTCGTCTTGGAAATGGATGGCCCGAGAAACAACATGGCAGGCAGTCCCCGTGACAAAGGCTTAGACCCTAGAGATGCCAAAAGGAAAAAACACAAAATGCATTTGGGAGGTGTGAGTGCAAAGGCTTGGAACCTAGAACAGCCGAAAAGGAAAAGCCGAAATCCATCTTGGGCGGGTCCGATTCAAGAGTTTCTGGACGCCTGCGAAAAGAATCAGCCTGCTCTCTGCCAAGTTCCTATCCTGGTAGCCACATTTCTCAGCGCAAGCACCGTGTCTTTTTGCGAAACTTCGCCTTTGCTGCAAAGCTACTGCCTGGAGGCACCTTTTCTATGTACGATACCCTTTCCTCAAAGGGCAGGCTGAAAGGTCTCTCTGGTTCGAGCAAACTGAGAAAGCCGCTGGTGACTTGTCAAAACTGACAAGTGCTGAGTTGCTGCCTTTCCTGCCACGCCACTCTGACAAAGGGCTAGGAAAAGAGAACTCGTAGATGGCCAAGTTCGACCACGAGCCGGCCAAAGTTTCGGCCGAGCTGGCATTACCCCTGCCCTAAGGAAGATGGCAGCTTCAGCCGCCACAGCTGGAATCTGCCTGCGGGCAACATGTCGCCACGCCCAACGGCCCATCTCTGTCCGTTGGACTTTCTTAGAATGACCTCACTTGAACGACAAACATGGTAAAGCACCCCAGAACAAGGCTCTGACAGCACTTTACCCTGTGAAATTAATCAACAACTTGAGACAACTTTGAGATTCTCACATTACAGGCCGTGCGCACCAATCAAGACTCACGTGTCTGGCTGTGTGCAAACCAGAGGTTTAAGCCCCTCGCAACAGCTGACTCGCCAGATCAGCAATTGCTGACCATTTGGACGACCAAAAACCATACTTCCCCCAAAACGCCTGAAGGCACCTGACCCAAGCCTTGTCGGCCCTTGCCCAGGACGAATGCGTCGCGTGCAGCACAAAGCCCCAGCCACCTCAAGGATTTGAGTGCGGTTGCTCGTTTGACGAGTCGCCCTGCCTCAAGCCGAGCTCCTCTGGAAGACGGTAAGACCAACCTGCGGCTTTAGACCGAATTGATTCATGGAGCACTCGTAAGGCTTCAGAGACTGAGACCTGGAACTTTCCGGTATTTTCGCTCTGCCCGAAAATGACACGCAAGCAACTGTGCCCATTTCAGCCCAATAGCGTCGGCAAAATCGTGCATGACCAGCCTGATGGCAACCAGGAGGGCGAAGTAGGCCGCCATGCGTGCAGGACTCCTGGCTCAGCGCGTGCTCCGGCGATGAGCTGCGGGTATGAAGTTCTGCGTGGGCCCTTTGGACATCATTCACACGGGGGCTGATATTCAACAAACACTTGGGAAAGTACTTTTCGACAAACCATGGCTATATATGCCCGCAAAAGCGGAGGGGTCGTTCAACCAAGCGTGCACCGTGCTTCAGTTCGTTGGGGAATCCCTGAGCCTCAAACACAGCTGTAAAGCATGAGCTTCGACATAGCCATTGTGTTTCCTACAAAAGGAACGTGGTGAAATCTGGCTACACTCCCAGATAGAGCGCCATCGTCCTTCTCTGCTCAGCGCCAGCAATCCTCCCCCCTGAGCATGTGCTGGCAAAAGGTAAGTGCTTCACTAGCAACAAGTCAAATCTGACCATATGCTGTCGCACGCCCCTTTTCACTCTGGCAAAACATGGTCTCCCGCTCCTGCTGCCTCTCCTTCTCCTTTCCTCCCTCACTCCCTCGCTCTATCTCTCTCTCTCTCCCTCTTACACAGGGCCCCACAAAGACTTCCGTTTCTCCCGCTTCAACGCTTCGTATTAGTCTTGCCCACTTCCCTTCTGCCTGCAAGCTGTCCATCCACTGCTGATCTCCTGCAGGATGCGGACCCAGTTCCATAGTGGGCACCTCGGAAACCCAAGCGGCCGCTTTCTGGAATCCCCGCTCAACGGGCGGCTTAGGGAAACTGCGCAGGTGGGAACTGTATGTCCGAAATGGCAAATTGGCTAAATGCAACTTCGGACAGAGTCATACTCGTCCGGTCTGCAAGACGATTAAATACAGGTTCAGCGCTTGGGCTTTTGGTGGTGACCCCATTTGTTGCGGGGCGCACTATTGCCACGCTGGAACGCAAGAGTTCACTGGCTGAATTTGGAACAGCCACAGCCACTTGGCGATCACACCTCTGAGCCGGGGACGAAACTACCCGGCTCACCTGCACTGGACATCGCCGTCTGTACGAACCGCAGGGATGTCATGTATCTTGACCCAAAACAGATCGCACTAGGAGGCCACAGGAACAAGATCTGTTTCTGTGTGTTGGCACGTCTGCAAGTTCCACACGCAGTCTTGACACTTCATATGCTTTACCTGGAAGCCTTTGTGACAAATGACAAATGGCCTCAAAAGATGCAGCCTACATGACATTGACATGTCTGAATTGCGCACTCACTCCTTTCAAATCAGGGCATTTGGTGGCACTCTGCATTCGGCCTTCCGCATTCCAGTCTTCTCGCAGAGCCGAATTGACTCCAGCTCAAGTTCACTATCCTTTTGAACAACCCCCAAGCAGAAAAGAGCTTGTAGGTGTGTGCGTGCCTTAAAATAGGGGACCCCAATTAGGTTGATCTTCTTTTGGTTTCCCCTTAAACCTCTCTAAAATGGTACCCTCAAACCCCCCCCCCGCCCCAATAGACCTTCTTTCTGCAAGGTGCGGATTTCATTGAGAGCAAAAGCCTCGCGGAATGCCTTGTTCGAGCCTACAGGAACAACACATTCTCCCAAATACCCGAACTGGTGGGCGTGCTTTCTTTTTGAGTGTACTATAGGGTACCGTTTGTGGTTGTGGTTTAAATGGAAACCACAAGGACAATCGAAGCCATTTTGGGGGGACGCTCTGATCTTACGCATACTGAATGCCCCTGTCCCATGCCCACCAGTCGCAGCGCGCCTTGCTGCAAAAGTGCTGGGCTCTCTGCCTGAAGGACGGCTATAGCCACCGGATGGCCATAACATCCGCCCGTCCCACGCGATACAGCCTTGAGCACATCGAAGAGATAGACATGGGTGTGTCTTTTTTGAGGCTAGCACTTTTTGTGTGGTTTGTGGTTTTGAAGGGAAATCAAACTAAAAACCAGCATTTTCTGGAGCCCCCCCCCAAAAAAAAAAGACAGACACACACACACACACACACACATGGCCAGCCAGCCCTTGCAGGACAAACTTGGAGTATGCCGGGTCACACATGTTTCTTCCAACAGTGGTGTTGTGCTGGCCGGGGGGCAGAACTACTTGTCCAAATGGGAAGCGCAAGGAGGTTCCAATGGCCCGTTTGGTGTGAGGGTAACTGGGGCTGGGGATATCATTTTTTAGGGTTCGCGTTTCGGGTTGGCTTCCAGGGAAAACCAAAGGGACATGACCCAGTCTGGTTGCCCAACTTTGAATTATTGGACAATCCCACATCCTTTCTATTCGCTTGAGGCGATCTTTCTAGCGAAGTTGCCCCACGTTGGCCGAAGATGCCCCAGTCAGAGTCGCCAGATGCAGCCAGCTGCCATGGGCCCCCGTAGAAGCGCAACCTCGTGCGGTCTCGCGCGACCCACGCAGATAAGCTGCCGGTGTCCAAGAGGATCACCACTGCACCACCAATACATAACCTTTCTTACCGTGGAGGTAGCAATGGGGTCGTGGAACTCATCTTTGAAGATCTAGCTGAAGGCTGCCATAGTATGTGAGCCATGAGAAGCACATATTTTTGACTCCAAAGAGAAGCAATCAACAAGCGCGGCGACACATGTCCTCGAATATGGTGGCTGGAAGGCTACCAAGAGTCTTGCAGCAGAGGGGGCGGATTGAATATGCAAGGAAAAAACATCGATACTCACAAACGGATTTTGACGTGGGAGTTCCTCAAAGAAAATCACAGTTGATAATTCTTACCTGGACCGTTGTCCACAAAAATGTTGCCAGTTGCAGCTTAACACATAATCTAGCTTCTCCGTGGTTCCATCATCGCAGCACGAGAAACATGTTAGTATGTATGAGTTTGAATTGGAAACCGTGTTGGACACAAGGTTGATATCCACCCACCGTTGTTCAGCGTGCTCAATTTGATACTGAGATTCACAGCCATATTGGCTTCTACCACCAACGTTGCTCTCTAGGATGCACGCAAGCAGAGTCTTTCAGGACAGGTGAGTCACGTGCGCAAGCAAAACCTCGCCCACGAACATGACGGCACCTATTTGTGGTTGGTCCCCTACTAACCTTCATCCTTCCCAGGGTTTGAAATTGTGCCAGCCCAGGGGCTTGCTGACATTGCCTTCGCATCGCAAGACGCTTTCCCCTTCTCCCAGCAGCAGCTTTGAGCAGGCCTGGCTCACTTCTGCTGACGTTCTGAAGGCCTAGGCCTTACTGTAACCACCCTAAGACCAGGTAGAACCATCTGCAAAATGGCCAACAGGGGTTTTGGGCGCTCAATGAAACTGGGAAGGTCCAGGCAGCATTCCCCACGGCACCTGTAGAGACCCTCTCTCTTCTCAGCCTCGCTTGTTTTCATGTCACCCACGCCTCCCCCTTGCAGTCCAGCGCAATCCCTCGCAGCCCTGCTGCGTGGAACCTCAAACTTGCGACGCAACACGCCCAATGCCGCCGTTCAGGTGGGTCATGCTAGGTTTGGAGCTTACTTCGGCAGGCTGAAACATTGCAAAGCAACACGGGCGACAAGAACCCGAACAACAAACCCTTCCCGTTCCTTTTGAGACCCTTCGCAGCGTGTGACCAATGTTACAGCTTGACTGCACGATACAATCACATACTGCAAGTACAAAGCACATTTGGGCGTCTTTTTTGCAGGGTACCATTTTTGTGGTTTCAAAGGGACACCAAAAGAAAACCCACCGATGTTGGGGCTCTCCCAAAAAGACACACCTTAAATAGCTGACTCATGCACAGTCGGCTGTATTTCTCGGCTCTTCTTGAGCTTGAGTATGAGTATGAGTCAACCGCCACACACCATTTTGTGTGGCGTGCTGACCAAAACGGGGACTAGCAAGTTGGGACCACTGCTCTCTTGTATTCGGTACGGGTGCAACGCCTTTGCTTGTGCAAAACCGCACACCTCGCCCCCTCCTCCGTTTGTTACGCACGAATGCAAGAACTGGTCCTAAGCAATACCAAGTTGGACAACGTGAAATCATGTGGGCTGAATTCCAAGTAGCCGCGGCTCCTCTGACAAGCACTGTGCCTGTCGATGCCACGAAAGGGCTGCTTCTTTCTCTGGGGCGCACTCACGGATCGTCTTTGAAGCTCTGGAACTTCGGGCTTCAAATTCTAGGGATCACGGGCCCAACCTGTCGCTCGGGTTGTTTTTCGGCTGGACTGAAAGACTCAAATTGCTGTGTCCGACTGGCCTCTTTTGGCAGGCAATGGCTGCTTTCCCACTTGGAAACAGCGGTATGCTTGCCTTTCCGGAACCAACACGGCTAACTAGCTGGCAGTGTGCAGCTTTGAAACCATGTCTGAATTGGTGATTGACGTTGAAAGACGGTGCCTTCTGGTGCCGATCTATACCGTGTGCAAAATGTGCAGCCAGATTCTGTCCAAGACACGGGCGAATTGCAGATTGTAGGAAGCTTGGGAACTTCAGGCAATGGCTCATGTCTAAAATGGAGGACCGAAGGCCTCCGAGTCCTTCAACACACGCTGCAGCACAAAATTAGATGGTCTCACCAGAAAGGTGCAGTGACTTGATGGTCAAGACACTTGATCAGGCGCACAAGTTTTTTTGGTGGTTGCTCTGGAATGGCAAACATGGTTGCTCTGGAGGGCCAAGACACCCATGCTTGGATCTCAAAGGTGCACCGGCGAACCACTCCAGTCAACCGAGAACGGGTGACTTGCGTTTTGAGGATGGCTCTTCTTTCTGGTCTTTCAGGGGAAACCAACAAGGAACGCCAACCCATTTGAATATGGGTCAAAATCCGAATCGTACCCCCAGTGGACATCCCAATCCCCCACTAAAATAGGCTCTAAAATGGGTGGTGCAGCTACCCCATGGGATACCATTCGTTTTGACAGCCACGGCCATTTCGGAGACTCCAAGCTGAAAGAGCTCCATGGCCCCGGCCTCCTCTAGGCTGGGTTTCAGCTTCCAGTCATCTGAGTCGAGCGCATGGACCTCGGCCGGCCCCGCTCCCCAAAAACCTGCCCGATTTATATGGGAAACCCCCAGGAACGACCCGCGGGGCCAATAGAAATCCGCTTCCCCCTGAGTGGTTTGCCTTGGTTTGGAGGTTGCCAAATTTTGGGGTCAAAGTTGCTGGTCAAACCAAACCACCAATCCAAACTAGCACCTAAGGCTTGCCTGGGAAAAATGGCCTCCCGCAGAATCCAGGAAACAGGACCAGAAGTTTGATCTTGCCAGGGCGCGTGATGCTTCTCGGCGATCAGAATTCTAAGCTGCGATCCATGAGGATGGCAAGCAATTCCTGGCCACTCACAGGCTTAGCCTTAGCAACCTCAAAACAACCAGCACCATAGCTTTCAGTACCAAAAGCTTGAGATTTGCCACTGGAAGAGTGTCAAGTGCGGTTGAAAGGCTTTCTCTCCAGCGGCAATTGCACTCTAGCTCATTTCCCGGCGCCCTGTCAAATAGAGCCTTGTAGCCAATGAAGGGAACCAAATTGGAGCCCACCTATTCTGGGTGTCCCAAATATGGGTCAAAATTAAACCGCTCGGCGACCAGGTTTCTGTTCACGTTTCCACTTACCAGGGTTCTATTTGGGGTACCTATTTTTCACCAGCCATCTCTGCATTCCATTCCCGGACTCGTTCCTTTTCTTTTCCGACGCCCGTCTCCCGCCTTTGGGCTCGAAGAAGCGGGGCCATGGCCCATCCGAGATCATCTCCAGCTCAGGCGCGTGCGGCGGGGGCGGGCTCCTGACGCTACATGTCGCTCGGTTCACCTTAAATGGATGCCTCGTCTTTTCTGGAGTTGGGAATTACCCCCGTCTTGGTGGTTTTAAAGGGGAGACCAAAAGGACACCCACCTTCTTGGGGTTCCCCAAAAAAGACACACGATATTTTTGGGCCAAAAGCCTGGCCCGATCGATCAGTCGAGAAGTACTAAGCCTTGCCTACACGGGCGATCCCTATTCGAAACTTTGACTTTGGTTCTCAAGAGCGCCAAATTGAATCAAGGTTGACAATCATCACGCAACCAACTCAAGCATCCGTGTGTATCTCTCGAAGCCGGCGTGGGTCCAACAAATGATAGCTGTGGAAAATGCTTACGCGAAGCCTGCGCACCCACTAGAATGCTTATGCCGGCACCAATTCACTGTATCTACTGCTTTTTGTGGCAACTTGACGCTGAATACAACCTCTCCTCAGGTTGGTAAAACGGCATCGGAAGGCTCGCCCTTTTCTACGGCCCATTGAATCATGTGAGGCGTTTGCAAGCGGTGCATCCCGACAGCATGTAGCAGGACATTGCCGGAAGCAAGAAACTGAAAACGTGCTATGCTCAAGGTAGCACCATTGATGCGATGTGAACCGTCTTGTTGACTTGATGCCTCCTTCGTCAGAATTGAACGAAGCAACCCTTGCCATGCACTTGGCACTAAGCACGGTCTAAGCACCCCACAGGATGTCCACAGCGCTTGTCGCCAAACGCAGGATGGACCAAACAAACCCGGCACCTCAAATGTCGCAGCCAGGAGAGGCGCATGCAATATCTGGAAATCCGGGATTACCACTTGAGGAATGCTGCATCTTTCATCCTGCATTGAAGTCTGAGCACAAACCGTTGGCTTGCCCTGCATGTTGGCGGATCGAGGGTCCAAACCGTCCGAACAACAAAAAAAACGTCCGAGTTTGTCTCACGAGGCCTTGGCATGTTGCTTTCAGTTTCCGTTTCGAAATGGTACTCGAGTACTTATTGCCCCCCCGTGGCTCCCCAGAATGACGTTGACTTTTCTGCACAGCGTGGAAGTGCGATCGCATTCACGTCTCAGAGAGTCACGGAGCATGGTTGAAAAGCAGGCTTCAAATACAACATTTATCAGCCAGTTGGGGAAGAAACTTGGTGTCTTTTCTTAGGGGACCCCGTCAAATTGTGGTGTTCCTTTTGACATCCCTTGAAAGCCACAAAGAAGTCTAAAAGGAACCACACCCAATTGACCTTTCGATGTTGTGGAATTTGTCTTTGAGCTGTCTCCAAAGAGCCGCAAATTGCAGCGGCTGGGACGGCTGGGCCTACTTTCAGGTAACCTCTCCAGCAAGGAGCTGCTCAAAAGGCAACAATTGGGGCGCAGGGTTTAGTCTTTGCTTCCATTTACAAAGGTGCCATTTTCAGTACCATTTGTTTTAACAGCCAGGCAGACCCTAAGTGTTTTGATCCCTGGACCCTATGTTTGTTTGATCCCTGGGCCCTATGTTTGTTTGACCTGGAAGACCGGAGTTTGCGGCTGACCAAAACCGGGAGGGGTCCAAAGCAGCCAGGGCACACCAGGCAGCGATCAGGACCAGACTGCCCTGCTGGATGGTGTGCCAGGGCAGCTGCCCAGGCTGATGCCTCGACTTCGCTTTAGGCTGATGGACTTCCGGGGTGGGTGGGTGGGTTGGTTGGGGGCGGTGGGGTGGGGTGGGGTGGGGTGGGGGGGGGTGGGGTGGGGTGGGGTGGGGTGGGGTGGGGTGGGGTGGGGTGGGGTGGGGTGGGGTGGGGTGGGGTGGGGTGGGGTGGGGTGGGGTGGGGTGGGGTGGGGTGGGGTGGGGTGGGGTGGGGTGGGGTGGGGTGGAAGACTCATTGCGCCAACCGGCACACCGGGAGTGAAGGCACCTAGCTGCCCTTGAAGAACTCCGCTGTCAAACTATTTGGCTTGCAAACGAGCTCCTTCCCTCAGAAAGGAGTAAATGCGTCCCTCACAAAGCAATCAAATCATATGGGAGTGCGCGACGCAGCATTCGATGCCTGCCTAGAACTACTGTTGCTCCTCTCGCGGTGAGGGTGAAAATCGCCGGCCTGCCCGGCGCGATCACATGTGAAAGGCGGCTTTGGCGCCAGGCATGAGATCGGTGGACGATGTCAACAGCAAACATGCCTTCCAAACACTTGGGTGCTTTCTCTTGTTTGAGGGTACTTTTGTTTCTTGCGGTTTTAAAGAGAAACCAAATGGACAACCACCATTTTGGGGGATCCCCTAAACAAAGACGTCCCCCCCACTTATGTTGTAAGCAACACAACAGGCACGTGAGATCTATTGCCGCGGCTTTTTGCCTCTGCGCACAAGGAATCGGGATCCTGGCCTGCGGATGCCGGAGGAAGGCTTGCCGGGTGACCTCCTCGGCACGAAGACCATCACCCAACTAGAAGGAAACTCAAAGAAAAGTGTGCGTGACATTTGGCCATGGGCTTTTCAAAATCCAAATCGGCTAGCCCCCAGTGAACGGGACTGATTCAATCCAACCACTAAACCAACCCAAATGGTACCATTGGCTTTGAGCCACAGCCATTTGAACCCAAGGAGCATGGAAGGCACCTTGGGAACATCCCTTCGCATCAAGCATACCACATAAGTGCCTCACCCTCAGGAAAACAGCAATTGGGGTCTGCTCAGTTTGAAACTCTCGAAAGCTGTGCTTCCAAGCAGGTCTTGTATCTGTGACACATCACCCGCCCAAGGGCGAGCACATTCAGCCTGACACATCCGAAGGGAACGATGTTTCCAAACTGCTGCCTTCTCCAAATTGCTTGGCCTGAGTCCTATCCACCCCCCTTCAAGTGCAGCTGCTGAGTCTGCCAGTTGAACTGCTTCGCCTGGGCCAGGTGAAAGGAAGCTGAGACCGGTGAGCACACGCCAGCCCCCAAGGAAACAAGCAGGTGTTGCCACTGCCGGATACAGACTTTCCGCCTTTTTGCGTTGGCCTAGCGGAGTCTGCCACTGGTTGCAAGTGGCCATTGCACTCATGCGTGCTCCCAAATGAGAAGGGACTTTTTGTTGGTTGAACTGAGTCTGCTGGCATGGATACCCAAACATCTCGCTGGCAAAGAACTGGCCACCGGCCATCAACTGCAAGCGCATGGTTGCAGTCAAATTCATCTAGGCGGCTTCCACCATAGCGAGACTCCTGTCAGGGCTATACTGTGAGGCGCAAAATTATTTGCTTTGCGCCTGTCAGCCTGTCGACATGGACTTGGCTGCCGTTGTTCGTGCCAAACAAATCAGAACTGCGAAACTTCACCGCTTCCCTTGTCTCATGGTCTTGTGGATCTGCCAAGAAACCGTCAACTGATATTCCCTGGAGGTGGGGGTACCATCACTTTGAGCCATTGCTGGTTCTGGCCTTGGCCTCACGTACCTGCGCCAGCGTAACAAGTGCCTGCATCAGAACATGGACAGTCCCACATCTGCAGCCCCACTGGGTTCTTAGTTTGGAGCCACACCCAACAGGATTTCCGCCCCTTGGGTCTGTCCTGCGCTGGGTCCATCGGGCCTTCCGGCCTCGCGATTGTGGGGTCAAACGCAATAATGTTGGACCCTCTTTACACGGACCCCCCCCCCCGCGAACGGTAGAGGGTACTACTCCTGAAGGTCCAACATTAACTCATGGAAACTCGCAGGTCCCCTTTGGGAGACATTCCATGTACAAAGGCCTTCTGGGAGCTTCCGGCTGTTAGTCTGAGGGAGTGTAAACAAAAGGGAACTTTCACGTGGAATACAGGTAGAAAGGCAGGTGTGCTGGGTGCACCTATGAGGTTTCACCTTTCTTTTATTTTGAAAAGGTAAGTGTACCAATCCCCTTTCTGAACCATCACGTGGAACCTTACGTGGAACGTCCAGTTGAAGCCGTGACAAAGCGCTAGCTTTGAACACGCACGAAGCACGCTACACCTGGCTATGGTTGGAATCCACGATCTGGAAAGCGACACGTCCTCCCTGACATTCAAACACTATCCAGGAATCGCAGCACACGACAGCCTACTTTCCGAGCTGTTTGGTGGCAAAGCAAACTGCATGATAGAGCAAGCTTTGCTTGGAAATGCGGATTGCACAAGGAGAATGCGTCAAACTTGGAGGGCTTGTTGGAGAAAAGGAACACACGACGGCTAACAAGGGAAGCATCTGCAGGCACCAAAGTCATTGACATCGCAATTTCCATGCGACGTAAGTCTGTTTGCGCACGGGGATGCGCGCGGAAGAGAGCCTGGGCCTCAAGACTGCATTTTCAAACTCGGCCAACACACTTGCCAAAGAGCGGGGTAGGTGGGTAGGGTAAGGGTGAGTTCACTTCCCATCATTCGCAAAATAAACAGCCACAAGGAGCTACTGAAGTCAAATCGAGACTCCCTCGATACGCAATGCAACGACTCAACTTTCTCCCGAGGCATCCACGTGTGCCACATCTCAGTCTCAGCGCGAGATCGCATTCGGACAAAGGCATTGAAGCCCTCCGAGATTCTCAGAGGGTCTTCACTATAGACTACCCCAACCACTACTCCATATTGTGTCTGCATTTTTCAGGCCCCCCAAAATGTTGGTGTTCCTTTGTTTCCTTTTCAAACCAAACAAGAGCGGGTTCGCCCAACAAAAGACACACTCACAAGCAACGTGTCCGTCTCCTACTGCCTCTTCACCCCTAAAACAAGCAAACATGCCCTGTTCTTTTGCCTCATCTGCCAAAACACCAATTATCTCCCCGCATCCCAACCATGGAATCTGCATTTGAAGGCCTTGTTACGAGTTCACTTCGCTTGCCAGTTGATTTATTTCAATCTGCCCTCATCCATAAACATGATTCACAGTACTCTTTGCATCTGAATGCTCATCCAATTGCTGCATGCATAATGGACTCGTAAGAAACAACTATATTACATATATATATATATATTTGTATATTCATATGGATAGTTATGCCCATCCAAGCTCTCGCGTCTAAAGAGAAACACGATATGTGCCGAGGTGTGAATCTGTAGATTGGAAGACAAATGCTTTCTTGCGAGAAGCAAGCTAGTAGTAGAATTTGGTCTCACTGGCTCCAGCAATCGAGAACTGGCAGTGCCAGTATCCACGCAACGAGCCTACAAAACAGGCTCGAAACAATCAGACATGGTCGCATGAAGATACCGGGCGCCCAATGCAAAAAGGTCAATATCCGAACAAACAATCCAGCTGGTGCGATAGGCAGGGAATGAGAAATGGAATGACCCCTAGAAATCATCCATTGCGGTTTCCTAGGGAATCCTTGGGTTCATTCCCTCATTCCCTACTGAGCACCAGCAGAGTTTGGGGATGACTTCCCTTGAGCCACTTTGGACCCGACTGGGCTGCCGACAACCTCAGATGTGGTGGAGCTCGCAGAGCCACCCCTAAGGTGAAGGGCAATCGTGGCAAGGAAAAGCTGTGTGTGAATTACCACTGGGGAGCCTTCAGTGGACATCATTTGGGTGGGGATTTCTGTATCTTTCTGTGCTCACCAACCACTTTTGGTGTAAATTGAGGCCCTTCCAGAAGCCACTATGCACGGAGCTTCATCTCAAGTTGGCACATTTCCATCCCAGGCATGCCCAATCCTCTCGGTGGCCCAGCTACCTCCCACTGTGAACTTCAAGAATCAGCACACACCCAAAAACAATTGATTTCTCCGTGCAGGGCCTGCATGAGTTCGTGCGCTCGTCTGGAACGGACAGCAAAGCTGAATCGGGAGCTGCCTGCCAGTAGCAGCGGGGATACTGGGCCCCAACCACAAACAAACTGCTCCACTGTGATCATGCGCATGCTTGTATGTACATCGACATCGTGTATATACATATGTCAGCATTGACGCCACCAACGTCTGGTTTACTCAGGCTAGTCTAGGCTTCCTCCAAAACTATTCAGGTAGCCTCACCATGCCCAAGAGCTGTATTTCGAAAGGAAGAAATTGCAGCACCACTTTACCAAGAAGGAAAAACAGCGGTTATTTGGGACTTTCTTTGCACTACCTGATGCTGGCAGACACTCCATGCGTAAGATGCCTCTTCAAGTTCAAATCAAGAGTGAAGGGGTGCACATGCCCATCTCTTGACACAATGACATGGTCTGCAATTCTGATCTCACCTCTTCTTTGGAGAACTCCGCTATCAGCATCTGCATCTCGGCGCGGTTTCGAGAGACGTGGGCGACATCAGCTGCGTCCGTCTGATCCGTTGGAGAACTTGTTGTGCCATTTGCACTTCCGGATCTTTTTCTTGCATGCCTCTTGGGGCATCTATAGGGCGATTGGTGAAAAAGGGTGTACAACAAAGCCTTCAGAACAACACGCGATCTTTAGCAAACCGCATGCAGGGGGTAGGCGTTGCGCTTGAGATGACGACACACTGCGTGAGACATGTCTAGGTCTGCGGCTTTTTGCTCAAGGCCCTCCAGGCGTATCCTGCACAATGCTTGCGCATATCACTTTTAAAGATTAACAAACCAAGAGCCCAGTTGAAAGCCAATCACTGATTTCGAAGAAAGGCTGGCGTGCAGCTCCAGTTTTGCATCATGCACCCCACTTTCTGTTTTTGGGACCTGGGGTCTGACCGCTGCCGGCAAAAAATGGCGCATGCTCCGCGCCCTTACCTGTTTTACCAAGAATACCTGCACCTTGATCACCATCATTTTCTTTCTCCTTTCATTCCCATGGCACCATCTACACCTGAGTCAGAATCAAGACCCGGTATTGACATGGTCTACCCAGAGCCATGCTTCAAGAACTCAGAAGGCGGATATCCGCAGCTATTTATGGCAAGGGGATTGTCCCTCGCTAACCTTCATCTACCCGGGTCTTTCAAAAAACCAGCCGTTTCACCTGGGTCTCTGGAGGTTTTCTAGAAAGAAGGATCCCTGGAAGGAATGGAAGTGGAAGGTATCCCTAGATCACCTGGTGCACCACCTGCAGCTCGATCACCCGAGTGCGCGCCTAATATCTTCCAGCTCAAGGACCCGATCTGGAGGCAAGGGCTCGGTCCACACCACGCTGCTGTCCTCGGATCCCCATGGAATGCACGGAGTCTTAACCAAAGGAATTTGACCTAAAAGGACATGTTCCCTACCCGCAGAGTCTTAACTATTCAATCTCCAAGAACTGTGAAAAACATGGTTTAGCCCATTTGTTGGTCTTTCTCCGGTTACTTTGATCCAATGTTTTGGCCTGCTGGTGCGATAGGTATGAATGCACCCGGAAGGAAGGAAGGAAGGAAGGAAGGAAGGAAGGAAGGAAGGAGGGAGGGAGGGAGGGAGGGAGGGAGGGAGGGAAGGAAGTAAGAAAGCAGAAACACAAGCAAAAGAACAACAGCGAGAACAAAAGGACCCGCATTGCATACAAAAAAGTAAATACCGAACAACAAAATACAAAGAAACACGTTCAAACACAATAAAGCAACAAAAGAACAGAAAGACAGAGCGAGATGGAGAACTGACCCACAGGCATAAAGCACACACAAAGCACATATACATCACGTGTATTCACTTTGAACACCCGAACGCGACAACACAACATACCATGGCACAATGGCACATTCACGCAAGAAACCTCGCACCCGCCCGCGCGCGCACACACGCACACGCACTTGTTGCCACACCGGCCTGCCGGGCAGCATAACAAACAAGCAAGCAAGCAACCAGCCAAACCAACGAAGCAGTACACAAACAATGCGAGCAAATACATCAACAACCAACAACAGCAATCCAAACCCAAAGCAACACTGACGGCCACACGACCACGCATACAACCAACAAAGCAAACCGGAATCCAGCGGAAGGTGCTTCGCGGAACAGGACGCGAGAGCACAACCTGCATGAGGTCTGGGGGTCCATTGTGTGAAAGTCAGGCCATCTGCAAACGCCCGGAGATAAGGACGCTTCAACCACCACAAAGGTGGACTGTATCGCAAAACGCACACAGTCGAACATACAATGTATCCTTTCCCTGCGCAAAAATGCATGTTCTGAAGGTACTATGGCTTGCAAGGTTCAAATTTTGCGTTGCCATTGCATTCATGTGGCGGCTGCACGAACCCGGCGGTAGAAGGACATAGCTTGGCCCGATGGATTCCATTCCAGCTTCACCCATACCTGAGTTTACAACAACAACACTGCTTCCACGGATCCCACTCAAGTGCTCCGAACAGGAAATGACAAACAAAGCAGAGCCGCTTTCTTTGTTTTGCACATGAAGCAAACACAACCTCCCATGAAGGCTGAATGCTGGAGTATTGACGGAATGCATTGCAAAGCCATGTCAATGACAGCGCAATGCAGCACACATGTTTTTGAAACAGTCACTTTGGACCATTGTATTCACCAGACACAACACCACTCTTCCACAACCTTGGCTCAACTCAGGTTCCAATACCTCTTAGAAAACAAATTTTCGGAAGCCAAAGCCCAGCTGTTTCGATGCCCAACACACAATCTGGTGCTGTGAGAAAAGGCCTGATTCGCAGCGGACCTGTGGCTATGGCTGGAAGAAATTTAGGACTACTTAAGGTCCTTAAATCGGCATGGTGCCTGGACGTGCAAATATGTTCTACACCCTTGCTTGGATCATCGTGCATGACAATCATTCATGGAGGGCGTAGCCGGCCTGAACGGGCGCCGGCCGATGTCATGCCCAGTTGCTGGCACGTTTGCTTGGTACTCCTCCACGGATGACGCCTGCGACTCGGATCTCATCCAACAGCCAGCCGCAAATCGTGAAGAGCCCGTGAGCTCCCAGGACTTGCATTGCAAGCACGTCCTCTTAAATCTGTCAATCCGCCCCCCACCCCCCGCAAAAGAAGGGACGCGCAGGGAAGGAGCAAGCAGTAAGCATCTTCAGGCAATGTCTTTGGAGCTTCAACTTGTCCATCTTGTCGCCAAACCTCTCCTCAGCCTTCAGTTTGATGGGGCCAGCAGAGCGAGGCAAGCAGCAAGTGCCGGGGATTGAAACGGAATGCCACAGCACGGGTTGATGGACAGCAACAAGCGGAGAATCGGCAGTTCCACTTCGCCGAATTCCTTTTGACACGAGGGGTTGTTGGTGGAGGCAAACCCACTGAAATCCAATGGCCACATCCTGCACGGGCTACCCGAAAACATGGTGAGCGCCCCACAGCTAACGGGGAAGGAGAGGGGCTGGATCCCATGTGTTGATTCCGGCCTTGCCTCGCCGGCCTCGCGTAAGCGCGTGGCATAGTTGTCCAGCTTCTTCCGCAGCTCGGCCACCGTCTGGAGCCACAAGACAGCCACATGGTTCGGATTTCTGTTTGGACGTCGGAATGTTCCAACCATAGGTTTGCTTTTTGTGTCCCTCATACGAACCTAAAGAAAGTCTGTCATGCTTAGACCCCATGATATGATATGGGATGCCCCAAACATCCGTTGTTGCTTCCCTTGGAATTCAGGTTACATCCTCTAAAAGCTTTCAAACCAAACACGCCACTAATTTTGAGCATTGCGTGCATATTCATGACTCTGGACATTAAGTCTGTGGGCCCGCGGCATTGATTTTGTAAAGAGTTCTTTGCGACAGGAGACATGTTTCGCGACAGCCAGCTCTGAGGCCCTTCCATGTGAAGCAGGGGCTGGGAGAACTAAATAATCTTTGTAGCTCGCTGTGGTCCTTACATTTGCATTTGCTCCCTTCCTGCTTGTCGTAATCCTCCATCAGGGAAGCAACATCATTGCCCTCAAAGCAACCGATGTCGTGCTCCAGCTCCGCATTCCTCAGTGAAAAGTGCAGCCACTGTTCTTTTGTTCTTTCTTTCTTTGGTTCCTTCTTTCTTTCTTTCTTTCTTTTTCTCTCTCTCTCTTTCAAGCGGAAGAAAGCTTGTGTGGCTCACTTACTGACCTGCAACTGCAACTTATAGTATCCAAGCATCATTTCTCCACAGAGGTGTGCCTCACAGCAATTGACACAGGCGACATCTGCCCAACTCACAGCTTCCCCTCAAGCAGCATGATGCAGCCGCTGATATTCGAGGGGTTGATTCCCCATTCTTTTCGGCCATCGTTCTTTTGAAAAGCCAGCCATTTCCCCAGGGTTTTTGGTGGCTTTCTAGAAGGAAGGATCCCTGGAAAGAATGGGGAAGTTACCCCTAGCGATATGGACTAATTCCTGTGACCATGAAGTAAGCGACTGCGACCGGCCACAAAAAAGCTTCGCTACGTCCCAGTGCCCCGAGCTGCCAAGGATTCCCGCAAACTCCGTCTGCACTCGCCGCCCGCGAAAGGAATGCAAACCGCGGGCTCCTGAAACCAAGGAGAGTCCCAAGGAACCTATGCCGCAGGGCCATTGGGCATGGCATCTGATGTCCCCTTGCGACTGACCCTCATCGCCCTGCACGAAAGCTCATGGCGCAGTCAAATCACCTGCATGGGAAATGTGACATGCCGCCAAAGGAATAAACGACCCCAAAGTAGTCTGTAACGAAGCGCAACCAACACGTGCCGAAGAAAAAAACAACAAAGTACATCTGGCATGCGATCAAAGGTATCGCTTCCATTTTTCCCAGGACGAGTGCAGCCTTGGCGCACCTGCCTAGATTGCCCTCAACGAATCCCCGCAGTAGTGCCGTGGCTGAACATGTCTCGAAATCTGATGCGTTATTGCCACATCATGAAAGTAGATGGCTCATTTTCCTTGGAGAAGAACGGAGGGTTAACCGAAAAGGGAGAGATTGTGCCTATTTTCCTACTCCCCCTTCCACTAACGTAGCGCCTGTGGGCGGGTACCGGGACCTGTCAGGTGCCATGGCAACGTGGGAGTCATGGTACTGCTTGTGATTCGATCCGTTTCCAGGTCCTCCTCTCTCACGACGCTGAGCTCAAAGGCTGGAGATGGCTCCTCCTCCTCCTCCTGAGGCTCAACGCTCCTATCACAGCTTGAGCCTTTCGTTCCTTGCCTGCCCTGTCCCTTTGATTTTTCCTCGTTTCCTTCCTTCCTTCCTTTCTTGCGTTCGGTCTTTTTATCTCTATTTCTTGTTCCTTCATGGTTTGCCATCTTTTCGCAGGTCTCAAAAGCTGCTTGCAACGGTTTTGCGCACTTCAAACCACCCCTGGCCTCGTCACCGTTGGGCTCCGCTCGGCGACGCTCGAGAGGAGGATCCTGGCGCTTTTGCAAAATGGACCGCAAGTGTTTTGCGGGAACATCGATGATCAAAATGGCCACGCGTCAAAATCCTGTACCGGTGAACATCCCAATCCAACCACCAAAATCGACTAAAATGGGTTGTGCACCTACCCCAAAAATGGTACCATTGGTGTTGACCCACAGCCAAATAGCACTGGTAAGTGAATGGAACCAAGCCACAACTTGCACCATCTATCTTTAACCAAGCTGACCCAACAGGAAATCGATGCAATGGAAGCCGCATCTCTGTGCAAATAATATCTCTTTTTTAAAAGCGCTGCGACAAACTGACTGAAGTGACAACTTCTTGGTCTTGAACATCTGCGGCCGCCAGGAAACCTATGTAGATCTACTGGCAATCGAGCAATCCTAGCCAACGCGATGCGCCTGAGTCTCCCTGGTGGTGCTGAGCCAGCCGAAGACGTCAAGATACAGCCTCGGCCAGAGTGCTTAAGCGCTCAAGGTGGCAACCGTGGCGGAACGCGTCGGCAACCATTTGTCATGTATTGATTGACTAGGTTCTCCGGTAGAGAGGTTAGAATGAGGGTACCCTTTTTCGGTAGTCTATTTCAGTAGGGGACCCCTCCCCCACAAAAGGGTAAAAGGGAACTATGGGGGACCTAGTTGAGGTCTCGCCAATCTTGCTTTGATCTGTTGCCACACTGCCAACTTATCCAACCAAGCAAGGTACCAGGGCACTACATAGTTGCGCGCATCAAGCTACGATGCCACCGGTAAATAGAGCAAGCGGTGAATTTGAGCCGTATCAAGCAATCATTTCCAGTCCGTCGATGCCCGTGTCTCTGGCTGACATGATATTCCGAGAAGCCACTGCACACGGAAGGAAAATGGCCTTGTGCATGCTAGGATCATGCAAGCCTTCACAATATTCCTACAAATATCCACGTGGGTTCGTCTTAAAGTAGGGGAAACCCAAAATGGGCGAGTTTCCTTTTGGTTTCCCCTAAGCCGCAAATAAGGGGTACCCTCAGAAAAAAAAAAAGAGAAAAAACAAAAAACATACATACCCACACATTTCGCGGCCGCAGCCTGCGCCGTATTTCTCGGCTCCAAACAAACCCAGCCCCACATGGAATGGGCCCGCCTGGAGGTTTGGGGGATTGAGTTCGCTCAGCCCCCGGCACAGAACGGAAGGTCGTTGGCAGTGCGATGCCGTGAATGATCTTGCCCTGGACAGGCGATCCACGTCTCGGATGGATTCCTTTCCCATCCTGACACCTAAACATGGCTTGGGGTGTTGCCCCTTGATTCTGAAGCGTATGGATCATTGCATGCTGAGATGCAGGCCCTTTAGCTACAATTAAAAGCACTCTGGCGCGCCGCTGGAAGGATGAGACGCTTGTATGGCCTAACTGCTGTTCATGTTTGTGTGGCGTTTCGCATCTGCGTCTGAGAGTGCAGTGGTTTCTCGCAGATAGTGTAGCACTTGTTAGTGGTGCAGCGATGCGCACATCGTGCGTTCCGCGTACTGTGTTTACATCTTCAAATCTATTCTGAATCAGTCTTGCGACATGGTTGGCACATAGTGCCACTAGGCTCCTGCGCAGTTCGTGCATGAACCTGGTTCCTAAGTTGCAAAGCCCCGCCTTCATCCCATCGTATACCATTTGGTGGAGGACCATCGCGCTTTGCAGAGTTCTTTGTACACAAAAACTTCAGTGGTTTCATGCAATCGTCATGATTGCCTCGAACGCATGAACTGTTTATTGCTGAGAAATGGGCAAAAACTGGCGCACTGAACTTGCAAATCCCCCGCCTTTGTCCAATTCAGCAGCATGACGAGCCTCGGTTCTTCAGTAGCATCGGCATGGGACTCCTGTCCAAAGTTGCGGCAGTTCCCACGACTTGGCCGAAAACTCATCGACGGCTCGGCAGAAGAAAGAAATGCTCACGCACCTGGGCTGCGCACAACTCACTCTCTCTCCAGCCAAGGCGCCACAAAATGTGTAGAGCAATTGCAGCAGGCACCAGAGAATCTCCCACCAATACTTAGATGATGCAATCATACAAGGTAAGAATACCATAGAATACTGACATCTGTATGCGGGCCTGTCTTTTTATAGGGAAATAAACATACACATTTGTTTGGGTCCCGCCTATTTCAAGACAGTCCCATGTCAGCTGGGATCGAAATGGGATCGAAATCATCTCCGAGGTCAACTGGGCGTGAAGTGGAGGGTTGACACAATGCCGCTCAGCATCTCATGGCATCTCTTCCCTTTTCTTTCCTCAGAAATGCAGCGTCAACTGTCCATGCTGGCAACGTGGCGACCGAGAGGCCCTTCCAACACCAGGATCAGGCTGATCCCAGAGATCAACGGCGGCAGCCTGAGCTGCAACATGGCAAAGAAAGTATACACAAAGGGCAAAAGCTCAATAACACTTAACTGGTCTAGTCTTTTGCTTGTGCCTGCAAGATTTCTGAAAAGGCAAAGGGGCGTGTTCAGCACAAAGGCCAAAACGAGGCAGCGAAATGACCTGAGCCAGCTGTGACTCACAAGCCCTGAGACTTGTGACAATGTGTCAATTTTGCGCAATGACAATGTGAGCCCCTTCAATTGGTCGGATTCGTGGTGAGCAGCGTTGGGTATGCACCAAACTGAAAAACGGTGCGACAGGCCGAAGCTGTGGAGAAGATGGGGGAACCACAAGGAAACCAGAGCAGAAAAGAGCAGCAAACAGAGCGAAAACAAATTGGACAATGAGTCGATTGAGCTGATAGCCGGGGAAAAGGAAATGCGGGAAGCAAAGCAAGAAGGAAGTCGGATGACAAAGACAAAAACAATAAGTATGCTCAGGGAAAGCGAGACGGGGAACAGGGGATGGGGGGGTAGGGTCAGGGTCCAAGGCGGACACCTCTGGCCATGTGTCCCGTCACAGGCCTAGCTGTTGTGAGAGCAGGGGCCCCAATTCCGGCACATTCGCACATGTTGCGCTGAGGCCGGACCATTCAGTGCACAAGTCTCTCGGACATTTGCACATCTGGGCTCACGGCACATACAAGTCCAAGCGAACAAGCAGGGCGGAACAAGTACTGAAGATTGCCACCGAACCTTGGATCGGTCAAAGTCCAGCTCATACAGCTTTCTGTTCAACACGCTTGCTTCCTGCCTCTCGCTGGCAAACACACATTCTCTCTCTCCCTCTCTCTGTCTGGCTCTGCCAAGAAGCACATGCCTGGGAGAACAGAATTGTTCTCTGACACGAAGCCGATCAAGCAGGTGTAGCCCAGTTGCTGGGGCCAAAGCAAATTGATCTCTCTCCATCTCCCTCCCTCTCTCTCTCTCTCTCCCTCCCTCCCTCCCTCTCTCTCTCTCCCCTCTGCCACAATCCCGCCACAACTTTGCCAATGACAGGATCAAACTCATGGCTGGTGACAAGGTCTGTCATCCGTTTCATGCCCGGGCCTGGAGGAACTGATTGGTGCCGAGGGCCATGCTCACCCGGGCATAGGCCTCGGACATCCACTCCATTCAACCCACGTCAGCCACGTTCCCAGCCACGTGCCAGGTCTGGTAGGAGCCTGTATGAAAAGCCAAGCATGCTGGTGGTAAACACCCCAGCTCTGTTTGCCCCTGGCCAGGATCAGCTGAGTCACAATCAAAACCCGGTAGTAAAATGGTCTACCCAGAACCATGTAACGAATTAAGAAGGCGGCCGCAACTATTTCTGGCTGGGACTGTCCCTTGCTAACCTTCATCTACCCGGGTTTTGAGCACGTGGCTCAGCTTGTGCGAAACCAACACATCCAAATTCGTGCCGAGCTGCGTCATAGGCTTGCCAGTTTGCTTGCATGCGGCGGTAGAGCTTCCTTGGCTGGAGCTGATAAATATGCAGCCATGTCATTTGCGTCCATCAGTCCATGATCGCTCCTGTCTCAGAAATACTGCGGATGGTTGCGACATCCGTTTCGCACCACTTCTGTCATCAAAACCGGGGTTTCTTTGGTGCGCTGGATGGATTTCGGTCGTCCATCCACAGTATGCCCTCCATTCCACGCAACTTGCAAAGCTGGGCCCATGAGCCGAGCAGCACATGAGTGAGCGTGTCCGTGGCGACCGGCCGGCCATCAGCATCCATCATGGTCTCCTGCCACAGTGCAGCTGGCGATCCGCCATCCCAGCCCACAGCACGAATGATCAGGCACCTGGTGCCTGTTTGGAGTTGGTATCCCTTGGTTGTGGGCTTTAAAGGGAAACCAAAGGGAATACTACCACCTACGGGTGGGAAACTCGTTTTATAAGGTGGCCATGGGCGCGCTTGAGAGTGACTTCATGGCTCAGTATCTGCACACCATGCGTGACGGTGAGACATGAGCTCTTGTACTGAGAGACATGGGTGCCGTGCTCTTCAACCCATGATCCCGGCCACGTACCATGCGGCATTGATGGATCAATTGTCAAAAGTATCATTGAAAGACTTCAACAACTCGCACCCAGCCCAAGTGCATAATATGTATATATACACACAACAATCCAAAGCCAACGTACTTTCCCGCCAACCCCAACTGCAGGGGGGACCTTTTAGAATACCAATCTCTTCCCCCTCAGAATGCATGCGGCCCCCCCGCTCCCCCTACCCGCAGGCCAACTTATCAATAGGTCCATTGTTTTGTGCCAGGGGATGTCATTGCAATCCTTGGGTCAAATGTGGTGTTGGCTTTAGTCCGGAGGTTTGTCAACTGGTTGAAGGGAAATCCAGTTTGGAAATGGCTAATTATCCTGTAGGAGTGGGAGATGGGTCGAGGAAAACACCATCATGAATAGGGTGCATTCATTGATAGGGGGAAGAGATTAGACCAATACTACAAATTCAAAACCAATGCAACCGCATGTCAATATTTCTGCTAACATATGTTACTCGGAAACTGCATCATGATCTTCTTTGGGCTCGAAAAAAAAACGTATTGGATGTGGACGCAAGCACGTCTATGGCAGGAGCCAAAGACCAAACTAGGGCCCCCCTGAGTAATAAAATGTGTTTCCCCCGTAGCGTGGATCAAGCCAATATGCATAAATAACCCCAGCTGATTGATTTTGAGCCACACCCATATACATCCAACATCACCCAACCTTATATGGCCCATATGCGCTTGCCCATACCCAATCCAATCATGTTGTGCACACAATACATGAACTACCCCCCAAAAAAAAACGGAGCAGCACCCATCACTCGCTCGCAGTGTCACCCCGCCTCCGCGCCAGCGCTACTGGCCAGGTCACTCCCCGCCAAGCTGGCGTTGCTGTCAGCCCTTTCAGGCGCATCGGCCTCCTCGCTGACTTGGTCAACCATTCCGGCCAGCCTCAGATCCAACTCGAACCCCGCAAAACGCTGTTTGCTGGTGCGATAGTTAGGGAAGGAGACATGGAATGACCCTATCAACCATCCAACGGAGGGTCTCCTTTAAGGGAAGCCCTGGGTTCATTCCCACATTCCCTGCTGAGCACCAGCAAGCTCTAGGCTCATAGAAGTGAAACCTCTCATTTAAGCATCCCTCACACAGCACATCAGCTGCATACCACTATTCTCTTGACGTTTCGCCGACTCGGGCTCCATCCTCGCGACCCTCGTATGCTTATCCCTGTCGTACGGACTATCAACTGTCTGATGGCGGCATTGTCTACAACATTGATACCATGAACATGAGACACTGCCAGCGTCGCTGCTCCTGGCGAATATGCTACTGCGCCTGAACTTCTTTTCCGCACGTTCTTCAGCTGTACAACAACATGCCGTAAGTTTGTAACCCCAACCGAACGGTCGTTGCCAAACGTGCTGAATTGTGAGTTACTCTACAAGCACGAAGCTCGCCAAAGTTGTTTGGAACTTGCTTCCCTGGTCCGGCTTCCCCCGCAAAACACCAACATCGAGGCACCATGAATCTAATGCGCTTCGTAGTCCCATCATGTCCCATGAATTGCCCGAAAAGGGAACATCGATTCGAAGTGCTAATAGCGACTTGCCGCAAGTGGGAATGTGTAAAACCAAGAGTGCCCATCCTGCTGGATCTTGACAGTGGATCAAAAGGGCCCCAATTATGTCACAACATTCTCCCAATATTGACATATCTGATCTTGAACAAATTGCTCTAAACCAACATCTGAAAACTGTATAATCCTTTCACTGTGCCTGAGTGTAGTAGGGTCGCTTCGGCTGTGTGGCATCTCGTGCACAAATCAACTGACGTCCATCGGATGCCAAACAAAATTGACACACTTCACATCCTGATTGCCTGTAAGCCTGGAAACAAGTAGGTCAATGTTAAAGAATAAAACAAAGGGGCCAAGGAGTTTCTCGAGTCTCGAGCCCTTTGGTCGAGCGCCCGAAAATCAAAAGAGGAGCTCTGTTTTGACATTGATTTGGGTGCTTTTCTTGAGCGTACGGTACCCCCCCGCCCCTGTTTTGTGGTTTCAGGGGGAAGCCAAAAGGAACACCGCCATTTTGGAGAGGTCCCCTAAAAAAGACACACCCATTTTCAGTGGGCATCCCGAGCGGGGGCGCGCCGAACTTGGTCGCTTGCCGAGGAACTTCTTGAGCTGCTGCTTCACAACTGGGACCCGCAGCATCTCCCTGAAAGGACTCCCATCGAAAAAAGGCTTGGGGGGTTGATCAAAAGGTCCGTCATACATAGGAGGACCTTTGGTTGGGAAACCACTGGACCATGAAATTTTCGTGGGGGAAACGTTACCGATGGTCATTTCGGGGCCAGGACCCCAAACACGGGCTTGAAACAAGTCCCAGCATGGATCTTGCGAAAATGACACTAAGCGCCCATATCCAGTCAAACGCCACGAGGATTGCTTGTCTTAGAATTGAAAACTCAAAACCGGGGCCTACGCCTGTACTCCTACAGCAAGTTGCAAGCAACCTGATCTTGCCGGAAGGATCACCCCAGCGGCAAACGGTGTATGCAGCGCCTTGTAGGTTTACTATCAAGGCATGCTCGCCCTTGGCAGGCGCTGGTACGGTGCCAACCACAACGAGCGCTGAGTTGAGGCGGCTTCGAGTCAACGCCTCTGAACATGGCGCGCGCCTCATCGAAGGTGAATATGTGGCGGCTCTGAAATTCCTTGTTCCCAGAACTGACCTCTTCGCGGGGCAATTACAGGAAGTAGTAGTAGTGGTGGTGGTGGTGGCGGTGGTGGTGGTAGTGGTAGCAGTAGCAGTAGCAGCAGCAGCACGAAAAACTGGGCGCGTCCCCAGATCGACAGTTGCAATGTTTGCGCGAAAGTAGCGCGCGAAGTGGGTTTCACAGGAGGAGACGCGTTGGCCACCCATGTCCGGAAAAATGGCGGGGATGTCAATCGATTCTTGCAAAGCTTTCGTGGATTTCGGATACTTCGGACGATTTCGGAGCTTTTGCAGCGACGCATTCCTGCGGCAATCCTCGAACCTAGCTTCCTCTGACCAAGTATGTAGTCAGTGCGCATTCTGCGCGCACAGCTGGCAAACGCAAGTGGTTTGTGGTGCCATCTTCCGTTTAGCAAACCACTCATACAAAACCTGTTGCGGAGGTCAACACTAAGCCCGGAAGGCACCCACCTTCATATCTTAAGGAAGAGGAACCACGTGGCTTGTTGCCAAACGCTTTGCAATCTAAACAGAACGCGCCCATCTACTCAACTCTGTGTGTTTTAAGCTTTCCACACATCTGGAACACTGTACAGGATCAACACGTCAACATGCACCTTGAAGCCCCGTCCGTCCAGCATCTAGCGTACAAGTTGCAGCACGAGTTGTGTTCTGCTTGGGCAAAGCAAATGGAGCATGCCCATCCAAACAACACCGGATTGACGTTTGGATCGTGCAGCAGGAATGTCGGAACCAGTAGACATCTCTGAGTAAGCTTTGTCCTCAGCCCCTGGTGACGCTGATTGCGAGTAAAACAAATGCTATTATGCGCAAACAATTCAGGGTTGTGTTACAGGATAACAAAACATGTCATTATGCACAAACAATTCGCTGAGCCACTGACGGGAGCAAAGGGTGCTGCAGGCCTTCAACTATTGAATTGCCAGACCGGGGCTCGCCTCACCCGCTTCCCCTCGAAATCCGTGGCCAGCACCCGGGCAGCGTCAAGTTGCTCCTGTGAGACAAGAACATGCACACAAACACAGACACACACACACACAGGGTTGCCTTTGTGACACGGGAAGCGATTCGAACGCTGCAAAATAGCAAGATCCTTGGTAGGCACCGGCAGTCGAACCAGCTGCCTAAGCATCGGTGCAGCAATGTATAGATGTTGCCTATGAGAGGAGGTTTGACCAAACGTGGGAAAACTGTGGAATGGGGTACCAACAGCCTCGTCCGATTGCCAAGCACACTATGTTAGTGCATCATTTCAAACACTGCGATTCTTTCGACTGTCAAGTGCCAACATCCACAACACATCTTTGGAAACATCTGAAATGCACAAGCAGTGGCCAAGCCCCGCGCAAACACGACGAGGCCTTGCAAAAGGGGGGGGTGGTCACTTTACATCCGCATGGATGCTAAAGACGCGATTAGCAGCTTCCGGCCAAGTTGCGTCAGCATGCGCACACAGAACGAGTGCGAGCAAATGGACGCATGCATGGCCAGCCTGGGTTGCGCAGCGAGCGACCTTTTGGAGGCTAGGCGCCAAAGACTTAACTTTTAGTGGGTTAAATGGAAATCCCCGCTAAACACTAAAAAGCCAAACACCTACGGGGATGCTGTGAATTCCCAAGAGGAATAAACGTGTTGAGCTGTATGGGGTTTGTCTCCCAAGTCTCTCAGGGCCGGGTCACCAAATGCATAGGGTGATGTACATGAAGGAGCCGACGCCAGATGCGCTCCACCTCGGCGTGACCCTCAAACCGAGGGTAAGGGCAACAGTGGAAAAATGGAACAAGACATGGGATGTTGTGGATCACTCTCCCAGATTTTCACTTTCAGTGGCCGCACGAACGCCTGTCCCGAACGCATCGTTAGAAAATAAAAATAAAAAGGAAACAACAAAGTGGCTGAGACCCTTGCTACACCTCTGGCGGCCACATTGTATACCCCGTTGCCCAACTACATGTTTGTCCAGTGCTGCTCTCATACTCCAGTGTGTGCTATGGCCGCATGTGGCCCATACTGCTCGTTTGGGTCCTGGAAAGCATCATTCACAGCCAGGTTCTGAGCAAGAGAGGAAGCTCATAACCTCTACCCGCCCAGTTGGCGGCTTGGATTGGTGGCTTGGTGACCAGGGCTCAAATCAAATCCAATCCACCGGGCTCCAAACGCCTCCATGCCCGAAGAAAGAACCCTCATGGATCGGCGAGCTCGCCCCATAAAATGGGCATGTTCTTTTAGGGGGACCCCAAAATCGGTGGGTTTTGGCTTTCATAGTGGTTGTGCTTTTAAAGCCCACCAAAGAAGGAGGTATACCAACTCATACAAAAGGAACCCCACCCATTTGGTCACCGCATCCGCGGAAACGACAACGAGAAAACCTCTGAGGCCGCCCGCAGGAACAAGAGCCATGGCGGCGCCTTGCCCGGCTCAGGCCGGCCCTCTGTGAAGAGCACCACCACTAGCCCGATCTCAGGGAAACGGCAAAAACAACAGGAAAAAACGAGACGCGGGTCAATGAAAAGCTGGTACATAGGCGTCGATTTTAAGGATGAAAAGAACAAATTGATCCACAGCTCTTTCATCCTTTTCTGGTTGGGACCGGCTCCTATCCGTATTTTAGGTTTGGTGTTGAGTTCAGGTCGCTGACGAAATAAACAAACTTTCAACCAACCATTTGGAAAGACCTCGCTTTGACCCAGTCACTTAACTAAATAACCCTCACCAGAACTGGAAGGGAACAAGGAATAACCTTGACTGTCACTTCCAAGTGGAAGCTGACGCAATTCCAAGTGGCAAATGCGAAAAAGTATATTTGGCAATCATGAGATATTGATTTGTTAGTGGATAACTTAAAAGATACAGAACATTTCGCTTGTGCAGGCTACGTGCATTGCAAATCGCGCTCTGTCTCTGGTGCAGCCATGCGATCCTGCCTGAATCGTGTTGACCTTAGGCAAATGCTGCTTGCGCGAGCAGGCGGTTCCACAGAATGCAAGTCTTGCCTAGTGCAGTCAAAGGGGCAATCAAGTAGTTGTCCATCTTTGACACAGTAAGGTCCATCAAGTCGCGGATATCTTCTCTGAAGAGCTCAAACTGCTTCACACGCATGGTCTGGCCTGCGCTGGGCTTCTTTTCCGGTGGAAGTTTTTTCTTTTTCGTCTCAACATGGCATTCATCTGAAGCGAATCTCCGAAAATCTTGATGCTTTCGAACCCGTCTGCCAAATCAACTGATGCTTTCGATAGCACGCCGCTCGCCTTGGTACTCGCGCTTTATCCGCTGCCTCACGCAGAGTGCCGCAACTTGAGGCGCACAAGAGTGCCAAAACACATCGCACGCGCGAGCACGGCGAGAAGCCGCATGACATCCCTGGCTAGAGATGAAAACCTTGCATCAAGCCAACAACCTGTAGAACCAACCGAGAAAATCGCAAAGCACGATTTGCATGCACCATCTTGCGCTCCAGTTGCTCGCCATCGAAGAAAAAGTTCTCTCGGTTGTAACCTTACGACGAGAGTGCATGGCTGGGCTGTCTACACTCAATTTCCTTGCGCTGCAAAGAATCTTTGCATGTCTTGAGACATGCGTCAACACATTGGGAATTGGCACGTCCCGGGAAATGACATCATTCAACTCAAAGAAGTTTCAGCCCTAGTTGCCTCCTGTGGGATCAATCTACAGGGCTTAAACTGAGCCGTAGGTTCAGCCAAAAAGCCTGCATATCAAGCCCCCAAATTCAAATGTTTTGCATTCATTGAAGCCAAAGCTTCAACCAAAGACTACTTTTAGAGCAGCACTCCTGCATTTCTGCCACAAGCACTAAATCAAGTGTAGCAACAAAAACAGCAGCAGGAGTCAAACCTTTCTGTCCGACACCTTTAGCCTCTACTTTCAAAACACACTTCCATGGCAACACAACATCTGCGCTTGAAGGCTCCATACACAGGCAAGGATTCGATACACAAACCAGTCACCATAGCACTGTTTCTCCAGAAGAATGCGCGATGCGCCTTTCGCTTTCTTCAGCCATATCGGCACGTATGAACATACATTTTTTTGAAAACTCTTGTCTGAACACTCGGCCAACATGTTTCAAGAGGCCAAACTTCAAGGCATCATCTTGCGAACAAAACAAGCTCGAACTCCCTCCAAAAACAAGCAGAGCGAGTGACCCTGCAGCAAGCTAAAGCCACATGCAAAAAACTCGCCGAGCAGCCGAAAAGGCTGCCTGCCACTCCCGCGGCAAGCACCTCCATTGCCCAAAGGTCTCACCTGTCAAATGCAGCACTCCAGCAGCTTTGAGGCTGTATCTCAGCACTGGCTGATCCAGAAAGGACGGGCACCGCATTTTGAAATTTGCAAAGCCATGCAAATTTCAGAACGACCCTGCATTTCGATCTGCACAGAACGGATGCTCAGCAAGTCACCCCACAATAGTCCAGGGGAGAAAACAAACAACACTTCACCCTATTTTTGCCCACAGCAAGGCAGCTGTCAGCGGCCAAAGTCGCTGTGTTCTTGCGACAAACTGCGTGAATGGCGCTTCTACTCCAAGCAAATCCGTGGCGCAAAGGCCAAAGCAAAGCCGCCTCAAGCCCGCGCTCGAGTCAAGCACTCGAAATCGCCATGGCTATGAGGCACGCTGCACAAAACGTATGGACGTGCTCGAATCTGGTGGTATCTCATGTCCTGAAAATTGGCTCTCCTGGGAGGATGATTTTGGCTGATGGCAAATCATCATTCAATCTCTTCACGTTGATCTGAATAGGTAATGATCGGACAGCTTGGACCTCCGTTGCTCTGGCTGAGTTCTCCTTGGATCAATCTGCGCCTTCGGCGCATTCTGGATTTAGGTTGGAGCCGAAAACACCTGCGAACAAGTTGTCAGCTGGGCGTCTTCACTGTGCTGAGGGCCATTAGCCTCCTTCATCCAAGGTCCAAAGCACCAACACACTACTACCAATTGCTACGCCTGTTGCACCGTCACTACAGCTCCCTCAATCTTCATCAACTTTCCGTAAACCAAGGTTGAGCTAGTTTCCACTGGACTCTGTCTGCGACAAAAATGAAGTCATGTTGTAATCGGCACCCTTCGGCGTGAAAACACACTCCCGTCACCTTGGCATCTGTCAAGGCTGGGTTGGGCAAAGAAGGCATGGATACATCGGGGATCTCGACCGTTGCCTGGCAAATGGCCGCAGCAGGGACATATTGGTCTGTGACCCAACTCTTGGCAATCCGCTGATATTCGAGGATTCACTCGCACTCTCCCCACCAAAACCCTACAACGAGGCCAGCTGCGAATGCCGTGCGCATGGACTCCAATCCCCGGACTATCGAAACGCCCTGACGAATCCAAAAATCTTCACAGCTCTCCTGTGGATTTATCTGACTGCGCGAGTTCATCTTTACAAACTGCGGCTGTTCCCTTGGCAGCCAGTGACCATCTACCAAACTGAATGCTAATCAACTTTCAACATTCTTGCAAATTGCTCTCTCAACGTCTATCAACTTCCGGGGGTGCAACGTGGAAAACCCAAAACGGCTGGAAACACCATCAACTCAAAGAAGAAAAGCCAACGCTTTCCGCTCAGTGCACTTTGCTTTGTGGAGTTGATAGGCGTCGACGCACGGATCAGCACATCAAGCAAAAGAAAATCTGTCCCGTCCCTTGCATGTAGTGGTTTGGGCCGGTAGGCTTGGAAGGAGTCACGCGGCTGTGGGTCAAAACCCACCCCTGGTGAACATCAAAATCTGTGGCTTAAATGGATGTTCATCCCCAAAATGTGATCGCCATAGGGTATGCTGGTATGCAACCCATGGCCACATCTTCCTCGCTCTTCAACTGCCAGCATTGACGTCACCATTTGCCCAACCAAAAAAGCCCGCCAGCGCAGGGACCTTTTCCATGGGCCCAGCCTTGGCCGTCACATCTCGCTGAACCTGGGGCGCCCAGAAGCCTGAGCAAGGCACTGAATTCACAGGGAAGCATATGGCACCCCTGAAACGAGTCTTCTCCTTCCGGAAGTTGTCTTTGCACGTCGACACTCGATATAACCCGACACATCAGCGAAGCCAGCATGTCACAGCAACACGGAAGTCCAGAGCCATCCATCCCGGTCCGAAAAAAAACGGAACTCGCATCCCGAATTGCCCACTGGATGGAGACCAGTACCCCTCCGGTCATTTTAGGGGCCCCCATCTCCGGAGGCCGGGGCTCCAGCCAGTGACAAAGTTCCTGGATGCCACCAGCGTCGCGGCAACGGCACCCAGCCTGGCGGGACATGGAAGTCCCACCAAAAGCGGACAGATGTCTTCCTTTTTTTTGCTTGAGCCCCCTGGAAAAAAATAGTGATTGATTCATTCCACTACATATTTCAGGATTGAAAAAAATACTACCTATTTCCAGTAGTGATTGATTCCTTGTAAAACCACCGGGGGAAAATGAACCATACTCTTAAACAAATGGACGATTTGGATGCAAAGCAAACTGGCCGTGGCTCGGAAAAGTGGTACTCAAAATGGCCCCTTGGTACATGGTAACAAAGACCAAAACCTGCGTGACCCTGGCTCTCACAACCAAAAGTGTACTTTCAGAAGCTGAGTCATCCCCAAGTCGTTCCTCAGTCCCTTCCAAAACCTTCCATGAATTAAATGTGCTTTGGAAGGCAACCAATAGACCCTCCGCCCACACAAGACCCCAAACGAGGCCAAGTGGACGCAAAGGCCCCGCGGTTTCGTCGCTTTCCGAAAGCCAGCGCCATCCTGCACGGAGATGTTGTCTCTGAAATGCCAACAGGTGGGTGGCTCGTCTTCTTCCTTTTCTTCTCTGGGTTTGGAAGGAAATGACGAGGAAAACCACCATGTTTGGGGATCCCCTAAAAAAGACACACCCAGGTAGATGCAACTTGACCGAGAAAATGGAGACACAGCCGCCCGCAGAACATTGCACATTCATCTCCATGTGTACATCGTTTCACCCTCGGCAATCCCAACTGTCAAAAAAACAGAAACTAACACGAAATGCAAGCAACAAATAACACCCCATGATTCGGCCCATCCTCGTGACCCTTCCTCTCGTTGATTTTGTATTGCACTTTTTCACATCGAGAAAACAAACAAGCCAAAAGGCTTCGCCAGTGGCAAAGCTGTATAGCAGTGATTGGTCACACTTCGCAGCGTTCGCGCACGGTTTTGCCCATGGCCGTGTCCAAACAATAATGAAGAACCCAGGAAATAATTTGAGAACATCCATGATTGCCTAAAGTACATAGAGGCATCTCAAGGCGGTAGCAACGATCCCAAAGGGTCCCGACGGCAAGATGGTGATTGGCTCAGACTTCCGCACATTGGACAAAACCTTCCAGACTCGCCTGCGTTTTTGGGGGTGTTGGAGCCTATTCCACTCGAATACATATTCCTTTTTGGTGGTTCCGACCCTTTTGGTGGTAGCTCGAATCGGAAATCGGCCACAGGGTACAACACCAAGGCCATGGCGACGTGACAGCCCAGGTCCTGTGCAAGGAGCAGATTTGAGTTGCTAAAATGGCTGCACAAGCAACAGAGCTTTGCAAAACCAGCAACTCAGGGAATGAGCTTTAATTGGGGGACCTCTGGTGGCAAATCATTTACATACAGGCTTGTATCCAAAAACCACTTCTACATTGAAACTGATTGCCATGTTACACGGTACACATATCTAGGGGGCAAACTTCTTTTCTTTGAGGGATTTATATATGGCACCATGCGTGTAGGAGTCTAGTCTGCAGTGCATGTTTGTCTCGTCTATGGCATGCATATAGGAATCCAGCCTGTTGTGCCTGCTCGCCTCGTCTGCGTGAGCATGCCGTGATAAATAAACACATTGAACATGATGTGTGTTGATAGCACATGCAACATGACAGCAATTGTATTTTTCCTCTGCGTTGCCTCCGCGTCTTTTGCAGCACATTTGGCCGGACATCAAAGGAAACAACAAAGGACCTAAACAAACACTTGCGCACAGATTCAACTGCAAGGTATGCACACTTGTGAAATGAAAGCCATTTTTTCCAGGCTTCACTTCGATAGCCACTATCGCTGCCCTAACTCCCACACGCACTCAAATTCACGACCTCAAAACAGCAATGCTGTTTCCGGCAGGTCCAACTATGACAAGTCTGCACCCAGTCTCACTTCACAGTGTGTCGACTTGAGCTCTTAAAGGCTTGGTTGACACTGCGTGTAGTTGAACAATTGCCTCCCAATTGTGCGGCTTCTGAAGTGTTCATGGCTTCGGTTTGCGAATTGCAAACAACGTCAAGACGCACACGACATGCTTCTGACATCTTGCAATTTGCACGGACACTGCTACAGGATTGCCCGTCTCACAATATGCATGCGCTGTGCTAAGCTCAACAAGGTGCCAAAACAACTCGTCTTCTGGCATGGAAGAGAACCGTTCTTTTGCCGGTGAGCCGAGCAGTGTGGAAAGCCATGCTAGGTCTCCCAAACTACTCTTAGTGACTGGCAAACGTCAAGTGCTTTCGCTCTCAGTGTTCCACAAAGCATTCGGCAGCAAGCAGCCCCGGTGAGGTCCCAAGGGCAAATGGATATCCTGCGGACATCTGGTTGGCGCTTTTCCTTAGCCGAAAGCCTGCAACATACTGCTCTTGAATGCATGTTGAATGGCGACCAGTGCAAGAATCGAAAAAATGTGTGCAAGCGCTGTCGAAAAGCCGCCGTCCCACTGAACTGCTGATGTGCAAGGGGGCCGGTTGCATGCGAAAAACCAAAGCAACTGCCCCTCATGTCTTTAGGCATCACAACCGACATAGCAACGAACAAATGCGGCTATGTCGCAATGATCAAGAACAGTTCGCAACATGGAAGTTTCAATCACAGGCTTCCAAATTCCCGCACTTGGCCTGCGGAGGGCTTTGCCTCCAAACATAGGGTCCTTGCAAGGCGCTCACTGCGCAATACTGTTGTGTGCATCTCAGTGCCTAAAGAAATGAGTTGTAGCTTGAAAGCAACCAACCAGTGCTCGACCTCGTCAAACCGCTCATCAAACCACTTTGCAAAGTGTTGCATCGTATCGTCATTGACATTGAGGCATCCATTTGTCTAACATCTGCGATGGCGAGTTTGTTTCTCTTTATGGACAATAGTTTGGCAACCTTAACTTTCTGCATATGTTCTGCTCCTCTGATGAGCGTCTGGCAAAACAACTCAACATACCAAGCAACCGACTGAACCAACATTTGTAAGGAAAAACACCTTTTTGGACATTCCGAAAAACGCCAATCAAGAACCACTGCCATGGCATCCAAGAACCATCGACTGTACAACCAAAGAACCATCTGCAAGAACCACACCTCCGATCCCTCTCCTTGATGGCGTCTCCAACGGACATTCCGATGGATACCACCACTGCATTGGGCTTGGGATGAGCCACAGGCTCTGACGAGCTACTGGGCAAACTCCCAGGACCTCAGGTCCGATCACAGTCAGCCTGAGCCTCTCGAATCATACAAAAATACATAAACAAATGAATAAATTTATGTGTTTCTATATATATATATATATTAATATACATAATTGGGGGTTGGTCTCAGAATGAGGGGACCCCTACAAATGATTGGTTTGCTTTGATTAACTTTATGTGTCCCTTTAAAGCCAAGCAAAGGCTCCCCCCAAAAGAAACACCTCGTATTGGTTCTGATCCACAGCCAGTTCAAGAAACAATCTCGAGCTCCACCATTGCAAGCCTGTAGATAGCGAAGCGTTGAACCGATCCAACCCTGGCAACCCTTGGCAATTGACTCATTTGACAGAACCGCGTCTAAATTGCAAGCAAAATCAAACAGTGCAACTACGAGCAAACTTTGTCGTCACATGTCCTTTCCATTTGGAATTTTGTTTCGTCTGAATTGAAGCTCCAGTAAGGCTTGGGCCGCTTGACGCGCCCTCTGCAATTTCGCGGACAAAGTCCTATACAAATGATGGCCAAATCCCGGACGATGCGTGCATGCTCAATCTCATGCTGTTCAGCTCGCTAAAATAATCGCATTTTTCTGCTTGCAGAGAAATTTTCCTTCCAAAGGCTTCATCACCTTCATTGGGCTAAACATTCCTTCCAAACCCAGTCCTTGAGTTGAACGTCTTCACCTGCCGGGGTTGCACACTGTGCATGTGGATTCGGTGCTGATTCATCAGCGCTCCTTTCACAACACTCACGAGCGAATTCGGAGACTTTGCCATAACACTGCGATCCTTGGAAGGCATCGGGGTATCCAAACGTCTCACAATGCAGAATGCCAGCCCAGCCTGTTTGTGACAGTGCGTACCATGCGATGTTTGGCCTGCCAATGATCACTGCTACCAAGTTTGTTTGGCAGGTGATTTCGCATGCCATCTGCAAACATGGCTTATGCTCAAGGCCGACAATTGACAGGCAGGCTCAGTTCATCACAAACACCGTCTCGCGGAGCTGCTGCCAAGTCTCGGCAGAAGCTCCAGCACAGGTTGGTCGACAACTTTGAGCACAGGAGGTGCCTGCATCTGAATTGATACGAGCTGCGCACGTATACCTTCAGGAGGAAAGTGGGGCAGTGATTCTTGTTTCCAGCTGTGTCATCTACATTTCTTAAACCTCAAACAGTTTCCGCCAACTCTCACCGTCTAGTCACAAAACGGCGCCTCCGACGACCCCGCGAAGTAACGCCTTCTGAGGGTAATAGCAACCTGCGAGCTCGATCCCGCGAACCCCATTCAAATCTCCCACATGAGCCAGATTCAAAACTCGGTGCTAAACTGGTCCACCCACAACCATGGAAAGAATTGAAAAGGCAGATATCCGCACCCATTTATGGCAAGGGGATTCTTCCTTAGCCTCCAATTGCAAGGGTTTGGACTCACATTCTCGTCTGCAAACACACCAGGCGTCAATGGCTGGAGACCGTCATGCTAGCTGGCTCCCTCCAAGGCTCCGACCATTTTGGCAAAACTTTGCAAGCTGGATGGCATGCAAAAGCCAGGATGTACCTCCGCGAAAGTGGGGCACCTTTTTTTGTTTGTGTTTGCTGTTCACCATCAGGATTCAAAAGCGCTGAACCAATGTTGCAACCCGTAGAAACCCCCATTTTGGGTGCTTCCTGCAAAACAACCATGAAATCAGCGGCGCAAGATCCTGCCTCAACCCACACATCTTTGGCTGAGTGCAAGTAGACGATCAACCTCCCTGCCTGCCACGTGCCAACATGCGTTTCATCGTCTCTGACAAAGTGTTGGTTTGCACATGCACCAGGGTCAAAGTCGATGGCACATATTTCTCCGTGGAAAATAAATAATGCTGCCATCTACTTGCACCCAACCGTAGTCCATGTCGACAAATGGGCAACGTGGGCAACGCCGTGCCAGCAACCTGTATGCTTGTCGGTTTTGACGGAAATGTCACAGTGCCTGATTTAATTCCGTCTCCAGGAGCAACTCCTGCGGCAGGGCTGCAACTCGGGTTTCACCTGCCAAACTGCAACATTTGGTGCCAAATATGGGTATGGGTCAAAATTAAACCACCAGGGGACCGCAAGTTTTAGTCCATGTTTCCATTTACCATGGTTCCATTTTGGGTAGTTATTTTTGACCCACAGGCATATAGGGAAAAACAACAATTGAACCAAACCGCAGCGCGAACTATGCAATGCTCCAGGGCATCGAAGGTGAGCTGCAATTCATGATCTGGTCGTGGAACTTGAGCCTAAATTTCCCAGTTGTTTTTCGGTTCAGTTGGAAAAACATGTTCTTGATGAACACAAACCTAAACTGATAGTCATCTTCCAAACTTGAAACTTACTGTTTGGTATTGCCGGATTCTGAAACTCAAAACGCATTGTGCAATTGCGAAATCAGTGGGTGGTGGCATCTCGCTCAGCCGTTGGCTCGACGTCCAACCAATTCTCCTGATGATCACAAGGTATGCTTTGTTCAACACACAACAACGCATTCATGTTTTGCCACGAGTCACAAATGCCGAGGTCGGTACTGCTTCGCTCCAACGCAGCTCTCTCCAACACAACAACCAACCTCGTCTGAGCAAGATCTTGCACAACATACCCACGACACGGTTCCATTCAATAATGTGCCAAGTAGCTTTGGCGGCTCTGCGAAACGGTCCTGTCTGCCAGCGATTTTTGGCCAGCCCTGCCCCCCCCCCCGCAACTCACAACGTGCTCCTCACCGTCAAACCACGAATGCGCCGCTGTGTTGTGCCTAGCGTGGTCAGAGGGGCATGCAATTACACCATGGATGTTCAGTTGGTCCGTGGATGCTGCAAATGTATCTATTGGATGGCAACCTCAGCCAAGAATACAATGCTGTATCACAACATTGCGCCTGACAATCTTGCAAACACGCAGCTTGGGTAAACATGGTTCAACACTGCGTGCGTTGCACGGATACCACATGTGAAACTTGCCTCGTAGGCTCGTCATCGCTTTCAAGTTGTTCTTGTCCGGCTTCAGCTTTCGACACCGCCTCAAACTTGAAAATTGCAGGTGCCGCCGATATCGTTTCCTGTTGCAACCAAAACCCTGAGAACGGTGCGCTGTACACACGATCTTGCGCAGGTTGTGCACAGCAAAACTTTTGGACATCTCCTTGGCCGGTTGCCAGTGCACGCTGAAAAAAATGGACAAAACATATCAGTCTCGAATGCTGAGCGGCTTTGATCGTCGATGCCCAAGACGCCTGCAAAAAAAGACATGACTCGCATCAGAACATTCAATCCCACCAGTTAAATATGGACACGACGCCTCAAGCCTTGAGCAGCGTTGAGTGCTCGATGTGCCGTGAACCCGATGCAACCACACGGTCAACCCGACGTGTCACCAGCCTCTCACTGCCGATGTAGCCTGGGAACGGTCTCCAGCCGCGAACCCTGATGAGCTTTTCAAGCTAGGCATGAGATGGCAAGAGCACCTCTACAACCAATGGTAAAATATGCTCGTTTGTGCTTCGAGGCCAACACCAGAGTGGATACGTACATACCTACATATATCAAAACATGTATATATGTAATGTAATATACACATTGTGATGTTTATTATGATGGTTCATCCAGGGCGACCACAGCCATTCAGCTGATTAGATTCGCTGTGGGCCCGGCCTTTTTTCTAGCGTCACTCCAGCCAAACAAACCTTGGCTGTATGCAAGTCACGAGCGTGATTTCTACATTCTACAAACGCAGCAGGATCACATGTCATAGGCAGGGGCCCATCGTTAACAGGCAGGGACTCATCGTTCACATTCCAAGATGTGCAGTTGCTACTCCTGTCCTGGCACATGTTTATTAAGGTCGCCACCAGCCAGGCAAACAAGAACGACCAACGCCAGGAATGGGCCCGACCTTCGGCAACTCAATCGGCGCATTGGAACCTTTGTCGGGGCCTTGCCTGTCACCAAGCAGCCACGATGTCGACACCGACCTCCGCTCCTCCTATGAAACTTGGTGGGTGCTTAGCCCGTTTCTCCCATCCAATGCAACTAAGGGCCATGTGGGGGGTGTGTCAAATTATGGGTAACCGCAAGCAGAATGGGTTTTCTTTGAGCTGTTCTTTCTTTTCAAGCCACCCAAAATTCGAGCGCCCCTCCAAAATGTTGAGGAACCCATGCATTGCAAATTCGCCACGCACGTCCTCGGACACCTCCTTCATGGCTTGCTTGATGCTGCTCACCCCCTGCACTGGACAAACTGCAAAGCTGAGCTCCCCAACTCACCAGCCTGCTCCGCGTGAGCACGAAAGCCACTCACAAGCGCTTGTGCTTGCCAGGCTGAAGCTGCTTCGACGCTTACCTGGGTTGAAGACTTGGCCCTCACTCACATGTGTTGGATTGTGGCCTTCTCACTGCCTGCGCAATGTGTGCAAAGTCCGTCTGAATTTGCAGATTGCTGCCCAGAGCCAGAAACCACACATAACATTCTCAAGCATGGTGTGCGCTGCTCGAGCCCCAACGAGGTTCTCGAATTCATGGCAGCTCTGGGTGCCCGGACTAAATCTGCCCACAGGGCAGAGTCGTGGCGCCCCACGTGCGCCAAGACTTGGGTCGCCGCTCCTTAGTTGGAGCCGAGCAGGACCGGCTCGGCGCGAAGTCCGAAGAAAAGGCTGGCTGCTTTCAGCTTGGACAAAGGCTAGCCAGGCTTGGCTCCAAGGTGCTGGCCCCAGTGCTTCATACAGGGATTGCATCTTGACAGCAAATGGCAGGCATGCAAAGATGGGGCGCGTGGCGCGTGTAGGTACACGCCTGTTCCGTCTCCTACCACATGCACGGCCAGAAACATTGCTCCAAGACAGTAGCCCAGGTCGTCCCACCCGCCCTTGCTTTAAATACGACTCAGGCCAGGGCAACATCTGGGAACAGTTGACCAACCCAGAACCGCGGCAGCGACCCTTCAACCCAGAGAACATATTCAATCCATGAAAAAGCAGCGTCTATGACCAACCATGGACCAGCTGTGGTGACATGATTGAACCCATGGTGTTTTGGCAACACTTGGGTCAACAAACAAGCATGCTGTTTGCCCAAATCTCACCCACAAAAATGAGCACATTCTGCGCTTTGCCGTGTTGGCTTCTGACGCTGTCTGGGTGACAGGACACATGGGATGCGCACCAAACCATGCACAAGGCTACCTTTTCAGGATCGCTGACTTGGTACTCTGAAAAAGCGCTGCCCGGGTTCCACTTTTTGACTACCCAAGATAGACTTAAACCCAGGGGTTCGTCTCTTGGGGGGATGAGCCACCGGGTTTAAGTCGACCCTAGTTGAAAAGTGGAACCCTGGTATGCGGATAGATCTTCCAGAAGCAGCCGAAGGGCGCCACGTGGCCTTCGCCACTGAGGTGGGGGATGCGCCGTGCAAGGCCAGCGATGCCTGCGTGTGTCAGTGAGGCGTCTTTCTGCCCAGAGCCCAGGTACCCTCTTAGCACTTGTGGACGCCAGGAGTTGGATAGCCCCCTCTCCCCCTCTCCCGCTAAGATTTTGGTTAACATGGCACCTGACGGAAAGCCCTTCCAAAAAAAAACCGGATTTTACAGGTACCTTCGAAAAAGGTGGCATGTTAGTGGGAGAGGGATCACCCTCTTTTGCACACCAGGCTGCAAATAGAAGGCACCATTCTGGGTTGATGTGGGGTGGGAATACCTGTCCAAACGTTCGACCAACTGGAAAACTGGCCTCTAGTCCGCTTCCGTCGGTGCTGTTGCTGAGGCCCCTCTACAGGTGCAATACTGATCTTTGATGGGGCTGAAAGCAAAGCCTGCATATCTGGAAATGCATGGCAACATCCAGCATCGTCATAGGATCATGGCATGCTGTATCTGCCTTCTTGGCGTTCATGAAGCCAAAGCCCGGCTTTCGAATCATGGCGAGCGACCTGCAATTCGAAGACCTGTCACGGCACGCCTTGGCTGCGTTCCGGGACGCCGCTGCAATGGCCTCAAGTGGCGGCCATGCCAAGTGGGAAGCGCGATCTGAGGCGTACAAGCTTGCCAGGTAGCGGCAAGCTGAGCAAGGTATGTGTTGGCCGTTCTCAAAATGCCTGGGGAGGCCTATACTGACGGGCAGTGGCCAAAAGGCAGGCTCATGCCAGCCTCAGGGCTGAAGCCCAATCAGGCAACACTCTAAGAAGCCGACTTTGGCCAGCTGAGCATTGCCCAGCACGCAATGGACATTTGATTCCAACAATCAAGGCATGAAGGCATCCGTCGACAATGCTAGAACGCCCAAAAACTCCGGTTAGTGGAACCCCCTGCTGAAACAGCCAATTTGGTGTGGCGGGCGCCGCAGCGTTTCCGAAAGCTCGCTCAGCGCCACACTGCCGTGAGGCCCTTCTGATCCTCGCAACCTGCCGCCGATGTGGCCTGCAGGACCTGGTCTGCCACAACAGCCGCTGGCTGCCTGGGCGTCAGGCAGGGTGCACTCGCTCGCCTTCCTTGCCTTGCCTTCCGTACCTCGCCTTCCTTGTCATGCTTGCCTAATTTGCCTACTTTGCCTTGCCTTCCTTGCCTTCCTTGCCTTCCTTGCCTCCCTTGCCTCCCTTGCCTCCCTTGCCTTCCTCGTCTTTGCGTTGCCTCTCTTGCCTTGCTTGCCTTCTTGGCCTTGCCTCCCTTGCCTCCCTTGCATTCCTCGTCTTTGCGTTGCCTTTCTTGCCTTGCTTGCCTTCTTTGCCTTGCCTTCCTTGCCTTCCTTGCCTCCCTTGTTTCCCTTGCCTCCCTTGCCTCCCTTGCCTTCCTCGTCTTTGCGTTGCCTCGCTTGCCTTGCTTGCCTTCTTGGCCTTACCTCCCTTGCCTCCCTTGCATTCCTCGTCTTTGCGTTGCCTTTCTTGCCTGCTTGCCTTCTTTGCCTTGCCTTCCTTGCCTTCCTTGCCTTCCTTGCCTCCCTTGTTTTCCTTGCCTCCCTTGCCTCCCTTGCCTTCCTCGTCTTTGCGTTGCCTCTTGCCTTGCTTGCCTTCTTGGCCTTGCCTCCCTTGCCTCCCTTGCATTCCTCGTCTTTGCGTTGCCTTTCTTGCCTTGCTTGCCTTCTTTGCCTTGCCTTCCTTGCCTTCCTTGCCTTCCTTGCCTCCCTTGTTTTCCTTGCCTCCCTTGCCTCCCTTGCCTTCCTCGTCTTTGCGTTGCCTCTTGCCTTGCTTGCCTTCTTGGCCTTGCCTCCCTTGCCTCCCTTGCATTCCTCGTCTTTGCGTTGCCTTTCTTGCCTTGCTTGCCTTCTTTGCCTTGCCTTCCTTGCCTTGCCTTCCTTGCCTTGCCTTCCGTGCCTTGCGTGCCTCACTCGCCTTCCTTGCCACGCTTGCCTACTTTGCCTACTTTGCTTACTTTGCCTTGCCTTCCTTGCCTCCCTTGCCTCCCTTGCCTCCCTTGCCTTCTGTGCCTGCCTCGTTTTGCTTGGGAAATGATGCTCAGAGTTTCTCTTGGAGGACCACGGGCGAACCCAAAAGCCGCAAGACTGACTCTTTGTTGGGTGCCAAGGAGATGGTTCTTAAGGCCTGCGGCTCGTGCACAGCCTCTTCCCCCACGAAGCCACACAAAACGGACGCCCGCCTGGTGAGGGTGCTGTGCTGCGCTATCCCAGCTGCTGCTGCTGTGCATGCCAGGTCCTGAGTTTGTGGCACGAACTTGTGGCGTGACGCCAGCCAAACATCTTGCCATCAACACCCTCTCAAAGACAAGGAGAGCTTTCGCACGCAAGAGTGCTTTTCGAAGCCAACTGAATGGAATGAAGCTAGCCCTGCTGTTCCCCAAGTATGCGGCCTTCACCTCATTCTCTGGCAGGCCGACGGCAACTGCAGCCTGTAGAGAGCCAAGATGGGCCAAGCGCAGGTGCCACGAACTGCGTTGGGGGCATTGAAAATACCAATGACGGCCTTGCAATGAGCCAAGGTTCTCTGACTTGACGGCTACCGTTCGATTCTGAGATTCCAAAAGGCTACCCTCCCCTGCAAGATTGTGTTGCTGGCCTCACTTTGCCATGTCTGATGCCTACAAAGCAGAGCATTGAGCTGAACAAAAACAAAGGCATGTGAATGCGCCTTCCAAACAAGTCAACATAACTTTAAGAAATGAGGCAAAAGGAACCAGGCACTGGACCGGCGAGCCTTTATCTCAAAAGAGTCAAAAAGGCGGGATATCCGAAACTATATTTGGGAACAACCGAGTTGATTTGGTATGAGCATCATCTTGCCCAACACAAGGAGTTGCGCTCGCCTTGGCTGCAGCTGCACTGACGCTGGCAGGCTCCTCTCCTTGCTCCGCAGCGGCCTGCAACTGCAACGCTGAGATGGGCGCAACTGAGCCAAGGCCATGTTGGCACAAAGCCACGTGCACTCATTGGCCATGGCGTGTCTTCTCAGATTCCTTCGCGGACATGGCTCATGGGTGCTTGCAGCTCATGTTTGTCCAAGTCCAAGCGAAACTTGTGCCAGCCAGCCAGTGCCGAGTTTGGATAGACACGTCGAAATCGCAGGGGCAATGCAACGTTGTCACTTGAGGTTAGCTTCCGAGGGATCAGCCCAATATTTGACAACTGCCCTCCAAGAGCCACTGCCTGTGCCGCTTGGTTGGCTGCCACGGCAGCCGCCAATTCTGAGCGGCGTGGGAAAACGTGACCGCTGAAAGGGGCGGCTGGGCCAAAACGACATAACTTTAAACTGAACTGACAGCGTGTTGGGGGGATGGCCCTCCAAGGCCCCCAAACACGGCATCGAGAGCCGAAAGCTAGCGGCCACGAGAGATGTGCCGAGCATCTCTTGGTCTCTCCTTCTGGTAGCTTGCTGTGGGAAACCCTCAAGGCTTCCAGGACGTTGTGTGCCACCTGCGCAAGATGCAGAGGGTGGACCAAACCGAGCTACGCCCATGAATTATTATATGAGGACAGAGCCAGGCAGCACCAGGGTTCATTGGGTCATTTGGCTCAGGATTGGCTTGTCGGGCTGCATGGCATATGGCAGGTGAGGCAGTCGCGTTGTCTTTTGAAACAATCAACGCCTGAGAAGAGATTGCCTGCCGAATGGTTTTGACTTCTCTATTGATCCCAAGGTTGATCGCCGTGACAGTGAACCAGTTGATCAATCCTGGGTTCCCCTTACAATTTGATGTTCCAATTGCGCCTCGTCCGGTCGGCCTCCTCGCCGTGCTGAGCTCTCTGCAACCACCTTGTCGTCAGGCAAGCCGAGAAGCGAATGACACGCGGAAAAAAGAAAAAAAACTGAGAGGGAACCGGCGAGGCTGGAACCAGGTGTTCTGCGACTTGTGGAACGCCCTGAAAACAGCGTGAGTCACAAAGTTGGGCTCTAGGACCTGATCGCCAACCTCCCAAATTGAAAAGCAACTTTGGCCCAGAGAGACGGCGTGGTCCTTCTAGCGAAAACGGCTACTCTCTTGGCTTCTTCTTGCCATGGGGGACGCCGGCGCCAAACGCGGGGGCCTTCCGAAACGAACACAAGCTTCTTGACTGAGGCGGTGAAAGAGGCAGTGATGTGAACGATGCCCATGGGTAGATGGCCACATCATCAGTGTCCGCAGCTTCGCTGCGTGTTAGTCTATACATTCAGCCTGCAGGCTCCCCGTGTCTAAGGCATGAGCTCGCACCAGGATGCCGGTCAACTTGTCGGCGATTTGTGGCGGGCTGACGTCGGCAATGGCCTTGCACATGCATTGGGTTTCCCCAGTCCAGCGGGGGGGGGGGGATGGAAAAAGCAAACATGCCGTTGAAAATGGGGTCTATCAATCAGCTTCCCTCTGATTGGTGGTTTGCATTGGTGGTTTGGAGGCCAAGGGGGCGGTTACCATTTTGCCCTCAACAAGAAATAGGGGAACCACCAATCCAAACCACCAATTGAGGGTTACCTGAATCAAATGCCCGGGCACAATTAGACCCTCAAAAGCCATCGTGGCCGACTGCCTCAGGACGTCCGGGACCTCTGTTGCGTGCTCAAGGCACTTTGAGGGGTCCAAACGTGTTGAGGAATCTGAAAGCTGAGGGCAGTCCACGAAAACCAACTGCCCATAGCATCGTCCATATTGTTTGGAAACACAAGCTCAGCAAACCACGACGTCTGTCATGCTGCCAAGCACATAATGTCAGACATGCATTGCCCAAACTTGATCGGCCAGAAACATAACATGGGATGATAAATTCATGGGCCCAAACAGTCCTGCATGCAACCTTACCCCTTTTGGCTCTAAGACTCTAAGCTCAGGGTGAGACATGGATTTGCAAGCGGGCATAATTACGCGGCTCTCACTTTCTCAGCTTGCGATTCGTGAGACCGCTGAATTGAGGCATCGCTCAACTTGTAGCTGAGACCTCGTCCAAGTCCGCAACTGGTTCACCGGCATCCTGCAGCTTTGACGCAGAGTCGCCTTGGCTGCTCCGTCTACGGGCAGCTCGCTGCCGCGCAGCGGCGCCGGCGCTGTTGCTGAAGAGCATCCTCTGTGCAATCCCGGCCTCAGGAAGATTGCTCAGGTCAACATCGTCAGAACGCCTGGCATCTGTCCATTCATCCCCGCTCTCAATAATTTCATGGCGCGATTCCAGAGACTTGTCACGGCGCCAGGAAACTCGCTTCCTGCATCGCGCGCGACCGGTCCCACTGGTGCCACCTTTGGGCCAGTCAAGTAAGACCTCCAGCCTGGGCTCAGATGACAATGTCGGGCCGTGTCTGAAGTTGCCCTTCCGTGCAATGCAGCAAGCCGTCACCAAATCATCATTGGGTCTTGGGCGTGGCCGCACTTCTGAGACTGAGGCGCCCATGAACTCTACTCTGGAAGCGCTTGAGCCATAGTACTGAAACAGCAACGCACTGGACACAAACAAGCCAGCTTGGTCTTGCGTTGGCGGCGGTTGCTGCCTGCTTGTACAGGTGGCTTTCGGACCGGAGGGCTGGTTTGTGAATAGTTTACTCTCGGTTGAGAACTTTGGCACAAGAGCTTTGAGCTTTGATGAGATTGGACCTCAAACTGAAAGCTTTGATCAAAGGGTTCGCTGGGATGGCTGGATTGAGGGATGATTCTGAACTTGAATCAGGATTTGCTCGGAGGCTTTCAGGGCGAGCTCTGTGACAAATGCATAGAACATCACCAAGACGGCAGCAAAACCATGGGTCCCACACATTGCCGCCCGCTCACACAAAGTCACAGCTGGCCGTCAGACGATTCTCTCCGCGCCTTCGCAGCCTTGCCCAAGTGCTTGGGAACGGAGCCGCTGTGTCTGGCCAGCCTGCGTCAGGGCAAGTCTGCCGATTGCAAAGCACCCGGAAGCGCTTCCGGAAAAACAAAAAAAACGGATGATGGATACGCACCAAGTAATCTCTTGCCTCCCACAAAACGCTAACACAAACACAAACACTGACACACGCAACAAAAAGCACACAAACAAACGAACACGAACACAAACTCCAACATGAGCACTCTAACTAAGGAGTAGACCACACAACAATCCAACACGCACACGCAAACGCACGCACAGACAACACACGCAACACGCACAGAACACACAAACACACACCAACAAAAATTCTCAGGGGAAAAAAGGGAAAAAAAGGGAAGAAACAGCTTGTAGCTCAAACATCCAGGAACTGGTGGTCTCGATGCTATCAAAAGCGTTTGGTTGGCATTTGGGCTGTGCTGGGCTTCGCAGTTTCCAGCGTGCCTCTTGAGCACAGCGATGGCCGCAATGCCTTAGCTTGCGAAGGGAGATGCGGACTTAGCCTGGTTTTGCTTATGGCTGCTTTGCCTGATTTATACAGGAATTATTGGATATGCTTTGAGATCGTGCCAGAGTTGATTGGGTCAGGTCCCGGCTGGGTTCAGGATCTGCCAAGCCGAGGGCAGGATGGGTGCGAACTTACTGTGATCTCGGCCCCGCCAAAAGAGCAGAACGCTGTTTTGTTCATCTGGGACATCATCGAGTCTGTCTGCAAGCAAGGGGGTAAGGACATAGGAGTAAGGACCCATGGGCAAGGCTCATGGCAGTTGTTGCAGTCATGATCCAACCAACAGCCATCCAATATCAACATCTCGAACACACCATGGAGTCGTAGATGCTGACCGTGCAAACTGAAGCCAGGGACACCGCGGTTCAAGCAATTGAACCACAAGTATAGCCTGAAAGCCTCGCAAAACTCGTCCTGAAAGCAAATAATTTGGTAGAGCTAACCTGCGTTGTACAAGAAAAACAACGTTCAAACAAAACAAACAGCCTCCCTACCAAAACATAACAAACAATGGTTCTTCCCTTCCATGCGTTTCCTTCTCTCCCCCAAAAAACGGCTTACATGATCATTGTGGGCCATGTATTTCTTATACCACCCCCCTAAACGCCCGACCCTAAACCCTTCCCCTCCCCCCCCCCCAAACAAAAAAACACATTCTTGAATGCCCCTCCCCCTCCCCCCTCCAGCCCCCCCCCCTCCCAAACAAAAAAACAAAACACGCCAGCAAAACGCAAAGCGCCGCTGCCACGCCCTGCCGCCACGGAGGCTCTTGCAGCTCAGCTGCCGGGGCTCACCTCCTTGCCTGCAGCTCCCGCGCTGGCCCATGCCTCCTGCGCCGCAGCGGCCACCTCGCCCAAAGACCCTGGGAATACACCCACTGCAAACCCCAGTTAGCCACATTTCCCCGGATGAAACCGTGTTATTTGGGTGTGGCTCAAAAATAAACAGGAGAGGCAAACCGCAGGTTTTGGTCCATGTTTCCTCTTACCAGGGGTCCATTTTGGCACCGGTTTTTTGAGCCACGGCCATTTTGAACCATTCTGGGTCATGTCCCAAGGGTGTAATCCCAGGGCGTACTACAAAAACCCTCAGACGGATGGACGCGGATGACACCGTCCAAGGGCCGGGACCAAATCAGTAGCTCAAGCCCCAGCTTCGGAGATTGCATTCTGCTTGGCCCGAATCCATTGAAGCCTCCTTTCAGTTCTATGAGGGCACATGCAACTTTGGCCTCTCCGAAGTGCGAAGAGTGCTGGCTGGGGCAGCCACTGCAGCTGGGTTCACGTTGCCAGCCATGGCTGACCTCAATCTGCCATTGCAACCCTTCAACATGGCAGGGGTGGAGACTCACAGTTGGCAATCGGCATCCAGAAGTTGCTTTCTGTCAGGCGCCTGTTCGTCCAAAATCGCATCAAGCATCATTCGGGCTTGTTTGTACATGGGGGGAACCCTCAAAATGGGTGGTTTAATTGCTGCTACGACTGTCAACCAAGCCCAACACGGGGTGAAAAGGCGTCCTCAAAAAACGTCACCCCCAGTGAGGATGGCAAAGGAGCTCAGGCCACTCATGGATTTCCCGAAATGAGTTCGGCTCGCGAATCCTAACAAAACTGGTCCACGGTTGAATCCTAAAGGACCTAGCCAGCATTGGAAATCAAACCCTGATAAGCATTGGAGCTTCAGAACGCGGTTGGTAGCTTTGGGCACTCTGACCTGCCTGCAGCCGGATCCTATCTCACAAGAGGGAAGGAAGGTTCTTTGGCAAACTGCCACGCGCAACTGGAATGATTGCGCTGTGCGTTTAATTACTGCCACGCTGCTGCACAGCAGCGCTCGCGGCAGCCTTGGTCAGCATTGCAAGGGGTGAACTGCATATGTGGCATAACTTGAGATAATGTTTACACGTGAACAGTTGTCCCAGCCGACTGAAGGGACCCAAAAGGTTTGGCTAACAAAACGCTCTTAGTTCTGGTACCCCCAAAACCTCCTCTTTCGCTCCAAACTCCAAAAACAAAAAGGACATAATCTAACTTACTACAGCTATTGCCAATACGCTTGCCAAGGCCAACTCCTTTCAGTCTGAAGGGGTTGGCCTTCCAGAAATGAAAAAAAAGGCTGGCCGGAAACAACAATCTTATTCCAAGTTGTTAAAAGAAAACGAGGTTTGACGAGCTCTCAAATGGTACGCCCCTTCAAGGCCAGCCCCCAGCCCCACCCGGATAACACAAAACCCCCCTAAACCCCCTCTGATTAAGCCTGGTTTTCAGCGTTGGGAAAATATGCACTGTCCTTTTACTTTCCCATTGCAGTCTTGGCCAAACAGGGGTCCACACAGGAAAGGGCCGGAGGACTGGCCGTTTTCGGATTTCTCCAAGGGGCCCAAGCAAAGGGGGACCTTAACCCGGGCCTGGCTGAGACCTCGACCGGGGGCATTAATCAAGTTCATACATTACTCCTTTTGGGGTGGTTGCAGGCGGGGAACTCCAGATGTCCCAAATCACAAACCTCATTGCGGGGGGGAACACGAGTTCCATCGCTGGGCATCGCTGTCCGAAAAACACCGCTAACAACACCTACAGTAGGCAGTTGCACAATGCCCGGGCCCGTCCGGAGAACTGCTCTGACCTACAATGGATTCCAAGGTGTATTGGCATCCAAACACTACCACAGCGCAAATTGAGAAATCGGGATGCAAGCCAAACGCACAGAACCACCTGCTCGTCGCACATTGTCACCAACCGGAGACATCCTGAAGGCCAAGTCGCAACCCCTGCTTCCTCTGCTCCCTGCGCATTGTTCGCACCAGCTGCCTCGCGCAAGGCACGCTTTCTGCTGATTCAAGAACCCCACAACTGCACCCTAGTGATCCACTTGCTTGTTTGTCCCACTTCGTAGGCAGGCCACAGGCTGGAATTATGGCCATTCTTGAGGTTGGTTTCCGGATGTTTCAAGAGCCCATGGAGCGCGTGAAATCCAAAAGCATCAGGCAGGGTGTCTTAGGCAAGGCCGCCAGTCGGGCGAGAGGTTGCCCCTGACCCACGGACCCACGCCATCCTCTGCCGCAGCCCTGGCAGCCATGCCGATGCGCTGTGGCAGCAGCTGTGTGGTGGCTGCAGCTTCGGCGGCCTCCCGATGGCGGGGTTCATCTGAAAGGAGCAAGGGCCGTGCACATGCAACAATGGAGCACACTGCGCATCGAGAGCCCGCATGTTGCCTTGTCGCTACCCACGGGGGCCAAGCATTACAATTCACAAATTGCCTTGCACTACTTACACACGAGCGAATCAAAGGGAAGCACAAGTACCACGCCCCATGCCACGGTTGACCGCAAGGCCCTCCAACGGCCTTTGGGCACACGAAAGAAGCTGCGAGCAGCGACGATGCCTGAGTCTTACTGCAATCAGCGTGTCCCTTGAGCAGCAAATGTTCAAGTTGGATGCCAGAACTGTAAGGAGTTGTGAAACTGCAGCAAGCTTCTGGAGGTAGCACGGCTGGGCGCGCGGAAGGGAAGGTACCCTATTGGACTCTCGGACACGCATTCACGAATTCTCACGACGGGGCCACGGGTTGGGTACACAACGCAGCATATATAAGCTGAACGCGCCATGGACAAATTCAAGTAACATCTGCCCTCGGGCACCTTGGTGGACGTTGGTGGGCAGGGCCCAAAAAGAAACCCACACTTTAGGGAGGATGCTTTTCATTGATGGACTAGTGGACATGTGCAAATTTAGGATGATTTATGTCCACCCGTTTTGGACACCGCTCCGATAGATTCACCATTTGCAGACGTGGCGCCGAATCCTCCAGCCCCGTGGCCGACGCTGCTGCTTTGCAGCTCTGCGCCTTGGATGGTTGCGAAAATCCATTTCGCACCCAAGAAACCCTGGCTTCTGATTCGACTTCCCAAATACCAAACAAACAATGGGTTTAACCATGGCTTCAAAGTGGTGCGAAATGGGTTTCGTCCATAAACAAAAGGGAACGCCTTTCCGGCGTTAATCCATGAACACCAGGTTCTACAAGGGGCCATAAGTCTCAGCAGGTGAAACAGCAACTCAAGACTGGTCGCAAGGAAGAACCCCGAAGTGTGGAGTCAAACTCAAGCCCTAGTTGCATCAATCGGTTTGCCAAAGGTGTAATCGTGCACGTTTCCAGCAAACAAAAGGTGCCGGGGAAAAGAAGCACACCCTGACACACCACCAACAACATATGTTTGGAAACAGGCTCAATTGTCTTGGGGACATGTTACAGGGCTTTCTCCCTTCTTGGCAAGCTTCTTAGCATTCCTAGAAGCACTGCAATTTTGTAGCATGTCAACCAAGCAGCTATTTCCACGTGGCTGCCGCCGTCGCGCCTGGCCTCGAAATGTGTTTTGCTGGTAACTGAAAGCCTGCAGTGTGTCTTGCAGGTTTCCAGTGCGAGTCTCCCAACACGTTTCCACACGCTCCGCACCTCACTCTTGAGACTTAGTTTGGACCATGCACCATGTATAACGCAACCAAAAGGGCCGCTGCACTCCCCGGAACTCCGAGAATTCAAGTAGGCTGCGAATGGAAGATGCTCAGGGGAGCTCAAACAAAATGCACACTGTGTTCATTGCTCTTTGCAAGGTCGTTGTGATACTCCACGCTTTTAGGGCACCGCACAAACCCACTCCCCGGGGTTGAACCCATAGCCCGTCAGCACTTGGACGCCACCCCCGCAGCCTGATCCAACACGGCCTTTGCTGCTGCCTCTGCAGCCAGCCTGGCTGAGTGGCCCGCTAAACTTCAACTAAGAACGTCTGGATGACATTGGACCACCTGACTCTGACTGGCTGACCTCTTGCTTCAGTTTGCCGCAAACGAACTGCTGTCCGTCGCCTCTTTGCACCGACGCCAAGGCCAACTGCATGGGCAGCTTGCAAGGCGGTCCGCCCAGCTTCCACCTGGAAAGGGAGAGAGCATCCTGCCGGGGAGCACACAACCATATGGGTGCGGCTCAAAATTAAGGAGCTAGGGTTACGCGGGTTCTAGTCTTGGTTCCATTTACCAAGGTGGCCATTTTGGTACTGGTTTTTCGGAGCCACAGCCACATACCATTACCCACCCACAAAGGAACGAAATGGGAAGAGGGCCTGCTTCAAACAGAAAACGTTGGAGGCCTGGTGCTGCATGCCGCATATGGTGCCAATCCCCCCCCTGGCACGTCTGACAGAACGCGAGAGTCACCTTGAGATGGATGCCATTTAGGTGATGCAAAGCCTTCAGTTTGCAAATTGCAATGGCAGTCGGGGCATCAACGGAGCTCTGAGATTGAACCTCAACAGAACCACATCGCACCCCCAACTAGTGCTGCATGACAAATTGACTGACAAATACCACACATGTCCGCCGTAAGGATCAAAGTCACCACATCCCGTGTGCGTGTGCGTGTGTGTGGCGCATTTACATCCAGAGGTGGCCCGGGAAGGCACAAAACGGGAGCAAAGTAATTGGCCCACCCACTTTGCGCCAAGATGCTGCAGTCGCGCCCAAGGACAAGACCTCTGCAAGCCGGGCCCATTCCCCTTCCCCGGGGAAAGTTAAGAACTTGAGAGAGGACGGACCAAAAGCTGGCCCCCTTTGCCAATGTTGCCGATTCACGCGCCTGTTCCGGTCAATTCCCTCCACACAACCTCAAGCAAAGCCAGCTTTCGTGGATCTGCCAGCCTTCAGCTCACCAAAACGAAGTGCCAACCGCCCAGCTCCGAGTCCCTAGAGTCCCTGCCTGTTCGCCCGCGGACTTCGCAGCACTCCAGGCAGCAATTTTCTGCGCCTACCGGCACAAAGTTGTGCAGGCGATGGCTGCAACTTGGAAGATGCAGCTAGTACGGGTTGATGAGTCCTGTTTGCTTAGGCCCAAGATATGGGAAAGAAAGCCTTGTGACTATGCCGCCTTGGCTGATATTTGTTTTCTTCCTGCAGCTTTCCCTTTTGCCCAAGCCTCCATTTCCTCGCTGCCAGCACCACGTGCAGCTGCCAGCGCCACACGTGCGATGTCCTGAAGCGGAGCGATAGGCAGGGAATGAGAAATGGAATGAACTGCTTGGGACTCACGAATACAGGAAGCCGAATCGGATATGGTTTTGATAGGGGTCTGTTCCATTACTCATGCCCTGCCTATCGCACCAGCAAAATGATTCGGCAGGTGCAAGTATGACTAAAAGCTGTTCACGGCTGAAACAAAACTGATTTCCCCAGTAAGGACATAGGTGCCTCCACATCAGCACCCCGCTCAGCGGCCTGAGCACGTCTTGCGCTTCGCGCAAAACTGGAGAATGATTCTGGTGCAAACCACTTTGGCAGGGATTCCAGTAAACACGTGGCACCTGTGTGCGCTGTATGTATTCTTACCTGTTGCTCTTGCTTTACCCCCCCCTTTGCGAAACGGAATTTCGGCATTGACAGCAACTCGCAAATTTCAAGCAATGAGGCCCCTGCAGCTTTGGATACGGCGGCCTGCAATGGCTGCACAAAGCTCGTCTCGCTAAGATTCTAAAAGAGCTCACTTTGCCCCACTTGAGTGGGCGGCTCATCTGCCTTTAGTGAAGAATGGCCCGGAACAAATGTGAATGTGTATTGATCCAGGGCTGTCCCGTAGATTTCCTGCTTGTTTTGAACATGTAGCAAATGCCATGCAAAAAACTGCAGGAACCCTCACCGTGTGGCTGTTTAAACTGCAGGAGGAAAACAACTGCCCAACTGCCCTTCAAAAAGTCGAACGTCCAAGACCGGCGTGTTGCATCAGGGTGATTCCTGAGATCATTTCGCACCATCAAGTGGCTTCGTTACGTTGATCACGTGCATCGTGCATGCTACGATCACGCCACAGCGTGGCCCAGTCCAAAAGTCAGCACTTGCTGCCCAAGTTAAGACTGACTCGACGAAAACGGAACGTCACACAGGCCAGCAATACAACACCACAAAACAACCCTGCTACACGCATAAGCACGCAACCACAGCAGTCCCCAACTAATGGGGCCCTTTGTCATTGATCGAATCACTCGGACAGGGCAATCAAGTAATTGGCCCCCTATGTCAACATGAGGTCAAACAGGAGCATCGGCCTCATGGCGCGCGGTACTGCAGGAACACGTCAGAAATAAAATGCATTCTCCGGCACGAGGCGAGCGACGTTTTCACGCTCACTGAGAATATTGGTATGGGTGTCTTTTTTGAAGATACCGTTTTCGTGGGGTTGGTTTAGGGGGAAGCCAAAAGGACAACTACCATTTCGGGGGTCCAACCTTAAAGAATGCACACCCATACCTGTCATGTCTGTGGCACATGAATTCTATTATTTCAGGGGCAGGTGTGGGAAGGACCCTCTGGTTTTCAGTGTCCACTCCTCAAAGTGATCATTGAATCTTTCAAGATGTGGGAACATCCATATTCCCCATCTGTTTCGGGGGGAACTGGGGAGTTCCCCCGAAAAGGGAAAAACAGAACACTAAAATCCAAGACGTATATATATATATATATATATTCACTATATATAGTATCTGTTTGTATATACAAACCAAGACACACAGACACACAAACACACAGATATATATATATATGTATACTCATATGTATGTATATATATATACATGTATGTATTGTAGTATTTCTGTGTATCTACATATGTGAATCTCTATGTGCAGATCTACTTATCCATATGCATCCTTGTGATCAATTCCCGCCGCCCCCGCCCCGATGTCTGGTAAACCGGCCAGGCCGGCCGTGGCCGCGTGGCTGGCGATCCAAGCGGCTTCAGCACCTTGGCATCCTGCAGCCATGGAGCCTCGGCCACGCGAAGCCGCGGAGTTGACCCAAAAACCGATGACCAGCGGGGGGGTGTCCCAAGAAAAGAAGCCATCAAAAATACTGGTTTTTATGTGCTTCCCTCAAACATGTCATTAAACGTACTGCATTTGGTTTGTTTCCCCCAAAGGATGCCATCCAAAAGCCGCGTTTCTGATGGGAATCCCAGAAAAAGACACGCCCACTAACCTCCGGCGCTGGACCGGTGCACTCTGTGCACAACCTGCTGTATGTAGGTTGGATAGCGGAGAGGGATTGCAGAAATGCCTCTCAAGTTTGGAGCCCTGCTGAAAAGGGAAACTGGTCTAGACCATGGAATGCTAGGCAATATTAAACCTATTCTCGCCTATTCTAGTCCGGCGCTAAGTCAATACTACACTTACTCCAAGCCAATACAATGCCAACACCCACACTGAAGCAGTACGAAGAGACAAAAAAGGCAGTGCTTAGGCCAGCGCAACGGATACGAAACCAACACAATGCCAAGCCAATACCGAACCCATACTGCACAGTATGCTTACTGAGACTATCTGAGTGAATTATATTTTTCGCCAACCTGAAATAAGGTGGTTGGGGGGGGGGCTATTTCCAACACAAACCACCATTTGGGGTGAATTCGGTCGTGTGAGGTCGTTATAATTCACCCAAGGTGATTTACGTGTTTCCCCCTTCGGTATCATCACTCCCTGGGCTATTCGACGCGTGGAACCGGCGCGCCCAGGGCCGTGGCCCACCAATGCCTTCTTGGCAACGGTCTGGTCTGCTGAGGGCTGGAGGCTCATGAAGTTGGCCTCCGGAAAGCATGTCGCCACAGGGCAGCGGAACCCGTCCGCTTTAGGCGGTGAAGCTATGCTAAATATATATATATATATACATATATATATATATATGTTTGGTTGAACACCATCATATCCCATCCAATATCCCAGCCAGCCGAATTCACTCAATTCGCTCAATTTGCACCAAGTCTTCATTTTCAGCATGACTCGCCAGCACACCTGAATGCAACCGAGCCGTACATCGTTTTCCGGGCTCTGGCCCCCCTCACAGGCGGGCACTAGCTGGGTTGAGCCCGAGTGAAACTGCCGAGCCCCACTCACTGGCCACAGGCAACGGCACACACGGCTCCCATTCTGCGCCGAGGTACTCCTCAGAAAGCATGGGGCAAAGCCTACGCCCAGCACAAGCAATCTCCACATAAGACAGGCCCTTTGAACTGCGGAAGTTATTCATCCCATGGCTTCCTTTAGGACAAATCAATCTTTTGAGGCATGTCCTATTCAGCACCCGGTGGGAAGTGAGCCAATTCGCCGGGCCAGCAAACGTTCCTGACAAGGATCGTAGCCATAGCGGCCATAGCGGTGCCCTTTGTGAAAATTTTGTGGCAGCCAGTTCTTCCTCTTCGCGGTTTTAAAGGGACACCACAAGGAGAACCACATTTTTGGGGGGTTCCCTGAAAAAAGATACCATTTACTTATTCAACACGTGCAATGTTTCCGCAAAGCTTCCACCACAGCAGTCGGAGCAGTCCCGTCGAAACCACCGAAGACATACAGCGATGTGGCAGACCGCGCTGCGACCAAGTGCTTCCGCGGCGTAGGAAGAGGGGCCACTACCTCCCAGCGTTCCTTGGCTGATAAAGTCAGCTCTGATTAGCTCTAGGCGAACGGCGTGGACGAAACTCAATTGTAAAAGCTTTACGTTCTATCCAAAGCGTCCATCCATATCTTGAAGAGTCGTTTACATTTCTCGTCCAAAACTGGGCACCACCACTGGTGGGCAAGACTTATTTCCTTCCAGCGCCGAAGAAACATGGCAGTTGAAGCAATAGGCCAGTGTCCCAACAGGCCGAGCGTCGAACAGGGGGTCAAAGCGCTCCACTGTGCCAAGGGGAAGGCCACCATTGTAACCTGCAGGCCCGGGACAAAGGAGGAATCAGCATGCGGTGTTTCAAGCATCGATAAGCAAGGCGATAGAGACTTACCCCTTAAAACTCCAAGCCCTGGGGAAGTTAATCTTTTACAGGCATATAGCCCATGTTACCCAAAAAGTTGAAAAGTTGTGTTTTTAAGAGGTAAGGAAAACTCGGCCATCCGCGAGAACGGACTTCACGGCGATTTTCTCACGGGCACCTCCGCACACGTAGATCTTGCCGCACACGGTCGCTGCGGCGCCGCTCCTTGGATGCAGATCTACGCGGGCGTCCAAGATTCTCTTTGGCTGGACTTCGAAGCCATCGACCCTGGGACATAGATGTTCGACCCTGTTGCACCGGCAAGATCGCCACAAGAAACAAGACAAGCACATAACTTGCGCGATCAAACGCCATGCACGCGAAACTATGCAAACCAAAACAAAAACAGCAAGCAAGTACCTCATGTACAAAAAGCAAGCATACACAAGAAGCACGTGCTTACCCTGCTCCCCCCCCAACCCACACCCTCGTGCACGTGCACATGCATATCCTTAGTCCCATAGTCACAGAAACAAGTCGCGCGCACGGTTGAATGCAAGCACATCCTGTTGTGCACAAGCATTCCGCCAAAACATGACAGGCTGGACGCTGGCCCTGCCTCTCCAACCCAAACATAGCAAGCATTGCAAAGAGTAGCTGCAAAGGCAGCACACCACTAGCCACACTCACGCTGTTTGGGGTGGTAACGCCATGCTATTTGAGGTGTCCTTTGCACTGTAGCTTCGATTGTGCCTTAGTCAATCTTGCAGGGACTTCATGTTTGACACCTACAACTGTCCAATGTATGCTGATGCAATCCATGCTGTGGGATATCAAAAGGAGTCACGGCAATCGCCTCTTTTGGGACAGCAACACCTGAACCTTTCGCAGCCATGTGCGGTTGGCTCAAGAATTGCTCGCATCCACAAGGACGAAAAGCTACATGGAACGTTGCCGCCATCACGAAATGGCCCGAAAGCAATCGCAATGGCACAGGTAGTAGTCTACGAGGAGAGCCGCATCAGCAATTGCAGCTCAAAATTGTTGATTGGGTGATGGCCACAGTTGCCCTTTGCAAGGGGCAACCCGTGAAAGATATGAAAACATCATAAGTGACGCTTTACGCGGTGAGCTCACACTTCCCGCGGCTCGTCGGAGTCGGAGGTGCCACCTTGCAGTCATGGCCGGGGGAAGCAGCCTCCACTCAGCATCCAGACATTCAGCGCGGCGCAAGGTGTAGCCACCTGAAATGACCGTGGCGCTCACGGGGCAGTTTCTTTCCAACGCGTTTTATGGAGCGTGCGCGATGGGAAAGGACAAAGGGAAGACATGGCGTGATCCAGGCGTGACGGTCATGCCTGCTTGTCCCTACGTACCAGCGTGTTCCCCTATTACTTCCCGTTGCGACTTGCAGCAACCCAAGCCCGAACTAGCCTCAAATGAGTCACAGCTTACCGCTCAACCTCTGACCCCATTCTTCCTTTGTTCACTGTTTGGGCATGTCTTAAACTAGGGGGCCCTCCAACATTCTGTTTTTTGCCTTCGCTCTTGCCCGATGGACAAGGGCTCCCCCCAAATTCCCATCGAAGGAACTTCACCTTGGCTGTTTGAACCCACTCGGGAAATACTTCAGGGAACCCATGAGAAATTCTGGCCACTAGATGACTCTTACCTGTCAGCCTATTTATGTGTGTGTGTGTGTTTGCTTTTCAGAGTATGTGTCTCACTTCCTGAGTGAATCGGCCAAAGTCCAAACCTTTTGGCTGCCACTAAAAAAACGTCTTCCCAAAAGTCGAAAATGTCCCCTTCTTTTTTCGCACCCACCCACTCAAATGGCGCCTTTGTAAGAACCCACCCATGGGAGCGAGTTGTTGGGTGATTTCTACAAAAAGGGACCTGCACCGCGATTCTCGGTTCTCGGTTGCTTTCTGCGAAGCCCTGCTGAAAGTGACTAACTTTTAGTGGTCTGGAAAACCCATTAGTGGGCAAAACGTGAAAGTCCGAACATCCCTTTTCAAAATGCAGCTCTGTGATGGCTACCCGGGACCCGCGACTTCGCGCCGCCCCGCCCCCGATCGCCGATCGCTGCCGGGCCGGCGAAGCCGCCCACCACGAAGAGCTTGGCGCCGCAGGCTGCCGCGCAGCAGCCGCTCCGCGGCGAAGGCAGCGGCGCCAACGGCTCCCAGCCTGGCGCACGAGGCGGGGGGGGGGGGGCTGAGGGCAGGGGGGGCTGGGTGGGTGGTGCACTTCCGATCGAGTGGATTGACCAAGGTCTGATTCTTGTCTTTTTGCACCACTAAACTGGGAAGACCGCAAAAGTGGGTGACCATTTTCGAGGCTACGTGTTTCTTTGGTTTGATTTGGGTTTGAAGGTGAAGGACAAGAGGAAATCAAGCTTGTAGGGCTCCTTCTTCATCTAACCCAATGGGAGGTGTTCCTCCAAAATTGATCGGTGTCCCCACCAAAGTGGGGCACTCCTATGAAGCAAAACGGGGTTGACGAATTCACAGCTAACATGACCCTCCGAGCTGCATTGAACGTAGAATTTTGCACCATGGAATCATCCGGAAGTTTGGATCATACGTGGCTCACATGCTTGGATGCTTCCAAGGTTACCAGCTGGCCCGCGAAGCATGTGGCAAGACTGACTCTGCCATCGTATGGCTCCTCCATCATTGATTGGTCAGCAGGGTCGCCACGGCTCCTTCCAACCTTCTGCCATTCATTTCAGCCAATCAATTCGACTCTCGACATCAGAGCCTCCGCCATCACATCTCTCCAGCCTGCTGCTAATGACAGATGCCACAATAAATGATTCGTTGGTTTGACAACAGAACATGCCAGAACCTGTTTGACATTGTTTCTCGGCCGCTCAAAGAATTCGTACTGCACATGTCTGGGCAGGCTACAGCTCACACTGTGAAATCCTCACAAAAAAAAAGCCTGGGTGTGAAAAATGGGGCGCCTGGAAAAACCGTTCATCCCCTTTTGGTTTAAACTTGAGTAAATTAATTTGTAGGAGCTCAGCGCAGAAGCCTGCATACGGGACTTTTCAGTCCAGGCACAAGTCCAGCTCCTGCCCAAAAGAGGTTCCAGCCACTAGGTAGACTCGTCCTTCGAGCCCGACCGCCGCCGACCTCAGAGTGGCACCAAGATTCGATGTCAAGAGTTCTGCACGTTTGGGGGGCGGGGGCCTGGGTGAAAAGCGTGACCCAAGCAACGCAACACATGCGCAGAAGATCACGCTCAGCTGGTTGGAGGGTTGCAGCCCGCTTTTGCATGTTCCAGGGCATCAGCTACTCGGCTGGTAAGTGCAACTGGGTCCCAACAAAGCAAGTCAAGGCCGTTCGGCTCCGCCAAAGACACGAACCTGGGCGAGTTATGACAATTCCCCTGAAACAAGAGCCCTCAAGAAAAACAAATATGAATCTTGGTTATGTCGCAATTTCCATCCCTTCAACTTGGTTGCTGTTGACCCCTCTGCAAGAAGTTTAACTTGTGGGTCCAACTCGGAAAATCCCACCACAAAACTTAAAGTCCAAAGATCCAACCAAATAAACCGCCTTCAAGTTGCCACAAGCTTTATGGCCAAAAAGTCATCGTCTCAAACCAAACTGGTCAACCATCACCTCAAGCAAGCCGATGGCTGCCGATGGCCGGGCTGCTCGGATCTGGGGCAAGAGAGCTTCAGATTGGAAGGGCTCCGCCAGCTGGATCGGAAAGGATCAAAACAGTGCACCACATCCTCGTCGGCTGGGTCCCAGAACGTGCTTTGTGTTTTTAGACCGGTTCAGGGGCCACAACAGGATTTAGTTATTCTTGGAATACCCTGGCTGG